GTGGACAGATTGAGGAGAAACATAGTAAAGACTACTCACTTTCTGCGTTAGGCGACCTGCTTGAATGAAGATTCCCATGAGAATTATTGAAGCTACACGTCTTCGAAAGAGAACGCAAAATCTTTCACTACCACTTGCCATCGAATGAGAAGCTTCTAGAGGTATAAGATGCGCCTCTGGGGCAGAGAAAGTTTGGCAGATGGATAAACCAGTTGGACTGGTAGAGCGAACAATTAGCAGCTGCCCAGTAGAATGTGATTGCAAAGACTTACTGCTCTGATACGTTGGACACTGTTGCCAAAGAAAAGAAAATATTCTGGCTCTGAAAGCACAATAACCCATTACACACAGCGAATGGAGGATGACTGTAGAGGGGAAAACATTTTGTAACAGTAGAGACCCGTGAGGAAAAAAACAAAACTAAATGTATAGAACTATGTGTGACGAGGACACTATATGAAGGTAGCCTCACCAGCAGACCTTACGAAGAATGCTTGAGTTACATCATGAAGTATATTCCATAATGAAAAAGGCAAGGCAGCAAATGAATGATAAGAAGTAAAGAGATGTGTGATCTAAATGATGAAAGAACGGTGGTACTTATATCTAAAGATTGAATTCTCTGTACTGTGAGCATCCTCTGTCTCGAAATATGCCATGATATATTGGTACAACAAGTTATTGAGACGATTGCTTAGACAACTGCAAGCTTGTGTCACGGTCCTAGACAGTGGGAAATTTTGGCTTCTCCATAAAAGACTTAGGAAAAATGTCTCCGAGCTAAGCGTGGAACTGAATCAAGAAGAAACTGCTCAAATAAATGAAGAAAAAAAGCTCTTAGTACCAGTCGATGGGCAGAGATCGCGTCTTGCGGGAAGAGTGAAGGAATGACGCAGGACTGGACGCGTTCAAATCACCGATTTGATGATAGCTTTGGTACTCCAAAGCCACTCCGTCTCTGGAAACGCATCCATCCGTGTGACGGTCTGACTTAGCTTCGGCGGATGTTGTTATCCGTGTAATGTTTCAAATTTGGATCAATAGGAACTCATTCCAAATCACATTATGTTGACAGCATGCACTCCGTCGGAACCAAAAGTTTTCAGTTCTTTGGTAAGAACGGAAGGCTGCTTGACCGTGACTTCAGGCTTGTTGAGGGACAGTCGCAAACTCAACGTAATTGGGTGATAATGTCAGATCTCTTAGACCACACGCTCTTGTCCACGGCTTCCTGCAAATATGACACTCAAATAGATAGGGTGAGTAGTCAAACAAGTCATCCCTTATCATCATGCCAAGCTGTAAAAGCAAGAAAACTGTAAATTCAGTCAAAAGTAGGTTTCCGTCCAAAGTAGATTTCGAAGCGGACAAATCTCAATCGAGCATAATCATATCCCCAAACGGCAATCTGCTTCTCTTGAGGGCAATTGGCAGGAAAAATCCGAGCAAACGAGTCAAGATTGAGGATCTGTCGACGGAAGCATACCTTCACACTGCGACTTATCTGCCAGCTGTCACTTTCATCCACGCAACAAATTCCGATTCTATCAGTATTCTCCTAGATGCGTGAGACAAAATTGAGCTTGTGAAACGAACAAACACGCGTTGAAGTGTGGGGGTCAGCAAACGCGGCTTCACGTGCAGTTTGAATCGTCGATGCATTTGGAAGACGGAATACAGGATTTGTTTTTGTAAGTTCTCGGGATCATTTCTGACACTTGCAAACACTGTACAATTTGCACCGATCACATGATGTATAGATAGTTGTGCCAAACAATGACTATATTGATTATAATTATGCTGAAAAAGATGTCATCTACTGACTCTCTCGATGCCAGAAGAATAGCTGACAATAATTTTATGTTTAAGATTCGAAGATCCTCGTGATCTCCGTGTATTCAGCCCCAAAAATGCTTGGGAGGATTCGCTCGTATCTATCAACAACATCCATCCATGGATGTTTCAAGCTTTCTCCAGCCACAAATCCCTGCATCATAAAGATCTATTGTGTCAAACCTTTCAAGTCCAAAAATCAGGACCTGGAATGAGATTCCTCTTTCAGCTGCATTCAGTTCATATAAATTCGATATTCGAATCCGTTGATTTCTTCCACAAGAATTCCTAAAGCCAAGAGAAGCACAATCGTCATTGACGCTATTATAGTTCACGCAACAAATCCATCTTCATGTCTGCAAGGCTCTGAATAATCCTTCGTACATGACTTATTAACGCGCCTCTAACCACTTTGGATTCTCGTATTCCCTCACCCTGTTACTGCCTGGAGGTACCAAGAAGTCACGTGAGAACAAACTGTCGCCAGTGCCAAGCTTATCATCTTATTTCACGTTCTGCATTTCTTCACCACCGACAAGGTCATGTTCATGTCTTCATCCCCAGACTTTATTTAAATAACACCACTCGATTTGAAATGGTCCAGGAATATACAAGAGTTAAGAATCACGAAATAACAACCTCGGAAAACTATCCCGAACAGCCCATCTCGACTCCTATACCAAGCCCCACTCGCTTACCAGGAGGCATCGCTTGGAGTCCAAGTCCAATGACTATCCTAGATAGCTGCGGATCCTTTCCTAAGCTTAAACTCATTAGGCTCTGATCTCGTAACAATTAATTGCATCGTGCTCTACTCGAGTAAGCGCTGTCAGATCGTACTTCTAGGCTATGTGATTGTACGTCAAACTCATGACCCCTGAAACTTTGGCATTCTCCACTTATATATTCTTCATTTCTGTTGTAGATGGGACATTCTCATGATAGCTTCATCTTACCATCGTTTTATTTCATCTTTTTACATTTTTTCAGATATGGTTTCAGTCAAGTCACTAGTTGCCCTTGCGGCACTTTCTGTAATGCAGGTTCAGGGCATTGATCTTGATGTTACCAGCACTGGTAAGTCATGATGCATGAAGAAATCTCGTGGATATGAATTTGATTCCATCTTGATATATAGATTCCATAAAATCAGCAGCTAGCACAATCGCAAAAGACTTAGCCGGTCTTTACAATCAGTCTCAAACTCCAGGAAACCCAATTGGCATTCTGAGCGCACCTTATTACTGGTGGGAATCCGGTGCCATGTTCGACACTTTGATTCAATACTGGCGTTTGACTGGTGATTCCCAGTACAATAAACTCGTCACCCAAGGATTAGCCTCTCAACGAGGTCCCAATGACGATTTCATGCCACCAAATCAAACGGCTTCCATGGGTAGTGATGATCAATCCATTTGGGCTCTTGCAGCAATGTCCGCTGTAGAGACACGACTAGTAGAAGATCAGAATGTTTCTTGGATCGATCTTGCTCAGGCAACGTTTGATGAACAAGTACTTCGCTGGGACGAGAAAACTTGCAATGGAGGTCTTCGCTGGCAAATCTTTACTTTCAATGCCGGCTATACCTACAAGAACACGATAACAAATGGGAACTTTTTCCAACTCGCCGCTCGTCTTGCTGTATCCAAAAACAACGACACTTACTCGGACTGGGCAAGTAAAGCATGGAATTGGACTAAAGCGGTTGGTTTTATTGATGAGGACTTCAACATCTTTGATGGTGCCGATGTTTCGACAAACTGTTCTACGATCAACAAAGTGCAATTCTCAGAAAATGCAGGTACATTTATTGCAGGCGCTGCATATATGTACAACTATACCAATGGAGATACTCAATGGAAAACAGCTCTCGACGGTCTCTTAAACAAAACCATCTCCGTATTCTTCCCATCTGGAATTGCCACCGAGACTGCCTGCGAAGCCAAAAATTCTTGCACCACAGACCAACGCGCCTTCAAAGGTGTACTAGGAAAATGGCTCGTGGATACCATCGCCGTCGCTCCATACACTAGCGATCTCATCACCAAGCAACTTACTAGCTCCGCCCAGGCTGCTGTAAAGACTTGTGGAGATAATGGATGTGGTTTGGATTGGAGTGGTGATGCCAAGAATAGTTCCACTGGTGTGGGAGAGCAAATTGATGCCCTCAATTATGTACAAGGCTTGCTTCATAGCCAGGTTTCATCGTCTACCACTCGAAATTCTTCGGGTGCACCGACAACTGGTCCCGGGGGTTCTACAAGCACAAGTGAAAGTGCTAGCACGTCTACTACTCAGAATGCGGCGGTTGGAATGGTAGTAGGACACTCGGCCTTGAGTTTCTCGATCTTGGGAGCATTGACTTGGTTAGTGCTGTAAAATAGATAGATTTTGGTTAGTGGGTATTCAAAGAGAAATACTAGATTTTTACCCAGATCTCTTGTATAATGACTAGAATGGTGTTGGAACTTTTTCTCGCTCGGGTAAATATCTTCTGAGATGATGTTCGCGTGTGCCACTTCTCTACATGATGGGACGGAAATGGAAGAATGCTAGCACAGTCTATTAGCTTATGTGGTAAAACTTTCATCTCGAAACCTCTATTCTTTCCCTATTTCACCACCAATGACCCTAAATCTCTAGTGAGTATCAATTCAGAGGGAAATGTTTTCGTCTTTGAGGTTTGCGTTACTTTTGCGTGTTGGGATATCGAAGTTTCATCAGTCTCGATAAATATGGCACAATTCTAGCACCTAAGAATATTCCTCTGCGCAGCAAATCTTCTCACCTTTCAATACCAGTAATAAGTGAATTAGATATCTACAGTTTTCAGGTAATCGGTAGAATTGGTATTTTCGTACTCTCTGCTGCCTAGTATATAGAAAGCTTGGAGAAACCAAATATTCCATTTATAAACTTCTTCCACCCTCGTCCATTTTCACAAAATACAACTTTTTTCAAAACTTTTCTCTTTGACCATTATTATCAGTCGACTCTCAATAATCTTTTTTTTTTTGCGCTGTCTATCCTCGATCATCGATTTTCAAGCGGCCATATCACATATTTGTGTCAGTTCTGCGGATAGATATTCGCAATCAACTTGATCGCTAATCCCGCATCAACTTCCAGCTTCTAGTGATAAAATTGAAAAGCTACTAAGATTAACTATGGATGATTACGAGGATTCTGAAGAGATAGATTCCGGTCTCCCAGATGAGAATGATGACCACAGTACATTGAAACCATGTCAACAACGACTAGGTTTATCTTCAAAATATGTCAGAAATTGGACAAAGTCAAACGCATTTCGAGAGTTTTGCCAGAATTGGTGAGTCGTGAATTTTTCTCCACCTTCAGTGAACTCCATTCGTGAATGAGCAACTGATTATTGTCGTGCTGAAAGGAATGGTGCGATGAGCAAAACTTCTCGGGTGTCTCGCGACAAGCTGAATTATGTGCATACAAAACTTGCCAATGGGTTTAGAATCACCGTTCACAATCCAGATACATCTCAGATACTTGGTTTCTTGGTATTTGATAAGAAGAAAGGAATGCTAGAACTGTGCAACTATAACAGTCAACTAGCACGCGAGGTTCTCGATATGGGCGGTACAAGCAAAGCCGACGACGACGAAATGGCGGGAACTCATGGTGAAGGGTTCAAGCTTGCTGCGTTACTTATGATACGAGAAGGTTATCAGGTTAGAATTACTGCGTCAAAGTTCTATTGGAACTTTCGCTGGGGGATCAGGGAAAAGAAAACACTCTGGTGCTTTCTGAGCGAAGTCAAGAAGAAGCCTACCCAGCAAGAACTGAATCCACAGAACACAGAATCATCGCTTTTCAGAGATGCAAGTCCGTGGAAAGATGTCTCTGTGAAGATGGGGTGTGTTCGCGGGAAGCAAGGGAAGCCGATCACGGAAGCCGAAGTGATGGAGTGGCTTAAAGTCTGCATTCATTTCGATCGCCCCAAGGAAATCGTATTTACACCATCTGGTAATTTGATCTTGGACCCAAATTTCGGCGGTAAAGTATACTTAAAGGGACTCTTCTTAGAGAAAACATCCAGAACACATGCAATCAAGTACGGTTATGATTTCTCACAGGGTCACATCGGGCGAGACAGAAAAGGAATAGAAGATCCCGACCAGATGGCAACTCTTTTGGCAGAAGTATGGAAAGAAGCAGTCCAAAAAAACGGCTCTAGAATGCTTGACATGTATATTAATATGCTATTGGAGAAGGAAAAGGCTTGGGACGATACTATCGACGTAGATAATAAAATGACTCGGTCCATAGCCAAAGCTATCTGGTCCAGACTCCAAAAGAAGAAAGATAACTTCTACTACGGCTCACAGAATGCCGCAAAGGTAAGAAGGTGCATTGCATTGAATATCGATTGATATACTGACAAAATACTCGTAGGATTCTGCAATAATCAAGTCATTATTGAAGAAAGAACCCGTTCTTTTGCCAGACAGATTATGGAAGACGTTGACAAAATATGAGCTGCCTCAGACACCATTGGAATACAGAAAGAATATAATGTGCAATTCCCAGACCGCGCCCACTCTAGACACACCGTATTGCGCAAGTTTAATGAGAACTTTGAGGGCTGCTTTAGCGTTGGATCCGCAAACCCAACCTTTCTTGTTGGTGTTCAAGAAAGCTGGAATATCTGGACTCGATTCATATCTGGATGTCGATAATTCTAAGCTTCTTCTGCATGAAAAATGGATGGATTTTGAGAAAAGCCATGGGGAGAATAGCACAGACTGTAGCCTATCGCACATGCGAAATACTGGAGATGTCATCAGCCCGATTGAAATATTTTCTTGCGACCACATTATCATCGAAATTTGCAATCAAGTACTGCAAGAGCTAGACAGGATCAGAGCTGGTAAAGGTTCAATCGGTGATCGGAGCGTAGACTCCTTGAAATCACAAGTCAGCGAGTGCCTCAAGGACATGATGCAAGGGATCCAAGCTCTTCCAGGTCCCCAGAAAGGAGAAATCTGTGTATCCTGGGAAGATAACGAAGCTGAAAAATTATTCAGACTTCATCGTATGAAGCTTCAATGCTGTGTGACACTGCATCGAGAAAGTACGTGCAGTCATAAGCGGTCGGAATTGTTAGCACGAGGTATGTCATGATCCATTCTGACTTCAATTTTCATATTGCTGATACAACCAAACCAGGGTACGGGATTTCATTCAAAACCTCAGATGAGGAAATGAGAACTGAGGCTTGTGGATGTTCACACAAATTGTGACCTGCACATCTGTGCACAACGAAATCACATTCAACGATCTCTCCCTGACAGAATCTTATTTCCCTATGGTCTCTAGAGCACATACACCAATCGCATTCTTTGGCTTTCCTCCTGCAGCTCAGAAGCCGGCTCAAAACCAGTCAGTAACAGTCGTCAACACACCTCGACGGAGCTATGTACGAATGAAGCCGAACCTTGATGAAAAAGGGTCACAATTAGCTCCAGCTAACGATAAAAAAGAGCTAAGTGAAGCTCTAGGTAAAGTTCAAAAGGCGAATACTGAGCTCACGCGCACAAAACAAACTCTTAGTAGTTGTGGACTGCGACGCGACGAGCTCAATCAGAAAGTCATTAGTTTGCAATCGCAAAAAGAACTCGCCTCAGTTGAATTCGATAAAATTAAGGCCGATAATGCTTCAAAGATTTCACAAATACATGAACTCGAAGCCAGGATTCAAGAACTTACATCCCATCTGGATACCGCCAACTTTGAGACTGCAGGTCTCAAGATACAACTCGCCACAATTCAATCCGAGAAAAAAACTCTGCAGCAAAGACTCGACGATGTTCAAATCCAAATTAACTCCAGCCATTCGGATTCTGAAGCACAGGAGACCATCCATGAACTACAAAATCGCGTCCGTCGAATGAAACTCAAAATTGGAGAATCTCAAAAGACTAATGAGCGATTGCGAGAAGATAAGCGGGTATTGGAAGCTCGTGCAATAGAAGCAGAGAGCCAAAGAGCTGCGGCAATTTTGCAAAGAAATGAATTCGTTATCGAGAGATACGAAGCAAGTATTCAGGAGCAATCATCGAGTCAAAGTACGGCAACATTCAGTAGGCAGAGTTCGATCACCAGAATTGGACGCGTTGCGGGGATTAAGAGAGGTAGAATTCCGAGTATGGATTTGCGCATGAGAGAGGAAAGTGTTATGAGGGGTGCTACAAGTAATTCACACGATGTGAATGAAGATCTTGAGATGTACGGGGCTAGTCACCCACGTCATATGAGCACTTTGGTGAAATCCGAGCGACAGAGCGGGAGTGGCACTGGTAGATTGGTAAAGAAGCTTAGGATGGAAAGTCGAGAGGTCATTGATTTGTCTGAAGATTGAGGTTGAAATGAATATGGTAATCGGTATTCGGTGGGGAGCAAATATTACATGGGAAATGGAATAAAGATCAACCTGGGAATCTTTCTTTGAAACGAATTTCATTTATTAACAGAAGAATAACAATATAACTTATCTCTTGACAAAAACTAAAATGAAAACTCCGTGACAAGAAAATTTCGAAATTCGCGTATGATAAACAGAGCATCTCATTGACCGGAAAAAAGATTCTCTACTATTCATCCAAGAAAAGCTTCACGGAACCAACTTTTTAGATCCAGACCTCTTTAACATTCTCATTTTTCCTTCTTTTACCTTTTCCTCTTGCTTTAATGTCATTTTCCAAAAGTATAGCTTTTTCAATCCACCCAAATTTTTATTTATCAATAGACCCAAACCTCATTATCTGATCCCAATCTTAAATCTCAATTCTAATCCCCATTTCTATTTTAATATCATTGCGAATTATGGTCGCTGTTAAATTCTCTACTCACCTACCTATCTATCTGATCCATAACCAGTTGTACCCCTTTCCACATCATCACATATATACGACTCCTTCCAAAATAATAACTAGCGTATTGATATGAAGAGTATGGACATTGGATCAAGAGAAACCTTGGAATATATCTTTTGATGATTGGGCATCCATATCTTTGATGACTATCTAGGTCCTACTAGCTAGTGTATATATAGGAAAGAGAATTCACTTGATGTACTTTGGTGCAGACTTGGTTATGTTTAGATGATTAGATAATTAGATGATTGAATTTAGAGGTCTGATGATGCGGTATGGTATGGTATGGTATGGTATGGTGTTGTGGTGGAAGAGATATAAGAGAGGCTTTGTTTTTTGATAGTAGGTTAGGGGATTGTGAAGATTGTGAGGTTGGTGTTAGTGGTGGGAGGGAGAAAGAGAAAGAGAAAGAGAAAGGGGGGAGGCGTAATAGCGTAGGGATCATGAGTTTATGATGAAAAAGAAAGGGGGGGGAGGGATTTACGCAGCTACACTCTTGATATTTGATCGGTTTGGGATAGCAATGTGATTTGAGAGGGAAAAGAAGAAGAAGGAAAAAAAGATTTGACCGTAGATAAAAGATACATGAGTCCTGAATCTCAAATCCAGGTATTATATGCAGTTTTCTCATGGGGATTTGAGAAAGCGTATCGGGTTGGAGTTGTGATGGAGAATTACAAAGGATTTTCCTTCTTGTTCATTAAATTTCTAATTCTTGATGATAGGTGGTGAGTATCATGATGGGCTGTGGGTATACTGAGATTGCTTTCTTTTCCATAGTTAAGTTGAGATTTGAGATGACGTGTTGTTGGCGAGATATTCGATATCACTTATGGACTCAAGTCGAGGGGTGTACCAGACAGGACGAGGAGACGATGATACTTAATAATGGGCTCGGTGATGCATTTTGTTTTAGCGGCGTAGGCTGTCTAGTTGTGATTGCTAAGGATGTTGGTGATGGAGAATTGTATGGAGAATGAGGATGTTTGAGTGGTTGAGGGGAGGAAGAGAAGGCGGATATACTAACCGAGGCTTATGCCTGGTCATGGATCGATATCGTTAATAGCGAAAGTTTGGAGAGTGATGAAGGGAAGGATTCAAAGCTGGAACACCATTGTCATGAAATCGCGGACTGCCTCCTTTTTGTGTAATCGTTGCTGAGATGAATAACTTGTTGAAAAATCATGACATGTAAATAATATTCGAGCCTTTGTTTTTGGTTTCAAGAAAAATGATATCTCTTCGTTCGGTGAAGTGGAATGGTAGGATAGTCAATTAGCTAGTAAGGAGGTCGCGCAACTCTTCGCTTGGGTGTATTAGTGGGGTACGATTACCTCTTACATTTTAGTGAATAAGGACACGACGAGCACATCAGTATTGTCCCCCGTACGATATTTTGGGGAAAAGACTACCCCGAAAAGCTGCATGTGTAGACTCCAGTGGAAGTCGCTGCTGGAGATCTAGAGACTTAGCTTATTTTTTAGACCGCCCGTCTTGCCGGCTTTAAACCGAATGGGTTTGATATGAATTTGACAAGATGATTGAGAATCCTACGTGTCATGTTATGGGGGTAGGAGATCCTTATCTTTTGGGGAGTATGGCATCGTTCAATATTTGTGGTGAGGATTAGGGGGATTTTTAAATCATGATAGGAATATACGCTTTCAAGGTTTCCAAGGCACATACTAATTGCGGAGGGACTCGAAATGGTTTTTAGTGATGCTATAGAAGATTGTAAAAAGTAACTAGTAGAAAATTCTGTAAGATATAAACAGGGAGTACCATCTTGATAGATAGAAAGTCCGATTTCACGTTGATCATCCCTCCGTGACATGAGGAAAACTCGCATTTAATCAGTCTACAGGAGTCTACTTCGATTTCCCTATTCGATAAAAAAAAGTTCGATCTACATGTTCCAAGATATTTCAACTGATCAATCCGTATCCTGCAACCAAAATTTGCCTCTTGCCGTTCGACCCAATATATTTTCATTCAAGGCCCATTCCACAAACATCTGATCATCCGAATGAACAACATTCAAGTCACCGCACGGATATTCTTCTACATATATAGCATTATCTTTGACATGCTTCGCAATATGTTCCATTCTCTCATCCCAGCAATTCTCTCCCTCGAACTCGAAATCACAGTCTTGCATCGGACATCCCAATTTCACCAACGGAACCTTTTCATGACGTCCCAAAACCTCCAATGCCTTTTTAGCTCTATCACGTAGAGCTCGATAGAATGGTTCCATCTGAGACTTTCTCATTATACGGTAGTTTTGTTTCCAATAATGATTGATTGGAGAATCCTGTTTGCTGAGACATGCGCTCTCTCCGCAAAGCCAGTTCAAATGCTTACATGCGACGTGGCATTTCCACTGTACTTTATTTGCGAATTTAGCAGTACATCCTGCGAAATGAAATATACAAACGTAGATATGTGTGTGTTCGATGACCATGTGGCGACTTATATCATCATAGTACGTGAATCTTGAGAACGAACAGACCTGACATTTCGGAATAGGCTGACTAACAAAAAGTACACGGCGAAAATACTTTTGAAGCTCAAAAGCTTCCGTTTTCCGATTATCTTCTTGTTTTATAATATCCCATACTACTTTGTCAGGTGCTTTTCGCTGCTCCGCAAGCGCGAGATGAGCATATTCGGCGTGGATATTCTTATGCTTGTCGATGTTTGGCTCCTCGATGAGTGTTTCTTCCGGATCCATGTCTAATTCCTTATAGGTCTCACGGGCTTCATCTCTTGCGTTCTTGATTTCAAAGTAGGTAACAGAGCGCTTTATCTCATATGACACTGGATACTTCGGACGTTGTGCTAATCTCTTGCTGGTTTGTGTTTCCATAGTTTCAAGGGCTGTGACGACATTTATCTCTAGTCCACAGTCGTGGCCTGCACTATTCGCTTTGATCAGCTAATCACAGAGAGTTGATCCAACAAAACTTCTTACCATCTCACAGATAGTTCTTCTGTGTTTCCTGGAATTTGAATTGCATTGCTACACCTCGGACAATGATCTCCAATCGCCATGCTATCTAGTATCACAGCCATTGATATCTGGGCTTTGGGCTTGACTAAGCTGTCCCAAGTAGTTTGATCAATCGTCCTTCCTTTATGGTCGGTCAACCAAAAGTTGTCCTCCATAATCTGGCGACTGCCAGGTATCCCTTCGAAATTTATATGTAGGAAGCGAGTGAAAGTCTACCATCATTAGCGCTAGGCCGGTAGTCATTGGGATCACACCAACTCACTTCCCAGTTTCTATAAACACCATACGGCAAACTTCTTGATCGATTGAATGTATCGATAAACATTATGTTTTCACTTAAGAGAAAGCTAGGGGCATGGATAATGTGGACCTTCAGAATTTGAAGATGAAGAAGAATGGGTGCAATAAATGGCCTGTGGTGGATCATGGGTTGATTAGCGTCAACCTTGCTTGAGCGGCAATAAATACACCTACCAAAACTGCTCCAAGAGCTCACGTACAAGTCGTGCTAATAACAAGGTACTGCATCTGTTGTCAGACCAAAGACTAATGCGGAGTGATTGAATCCACTGACACTTGTTTAAAATGCATTTGAACTTCTAATAAAGTCTGTCGTGGATTGGAGCCTTGTGTTGCCATCATCCGCTCTTCCCTTGCCTCGTTTGGTGATGAAGCATGACCAATTAGAGATGACTTTAAAGCCTTGATTTGGGATGTGTTATCTTGTAAGCTCTTCTCTACCCTTTGCACAGATTGCAAGGTCGCAGAATACTGTGCCTCCCTTGCGCGCGTTAGCGCATTGATAATTTTGAAGATCCGTGTGGGTAATTGGTCTATTTTTTGGCCCAGGAAATCTTTTGTAACTTTGGATGATTCTAAGATACCACAGAGTCCTTCTTCCAGGGGATGTAACGCATCGCCAATTTTGTGAACTCTGTCGTCAAGTTCCTTTTGTAGTCTCGTCAGATTACGAGGGATATTCGCAAGCTTTATATTAATTGCCATGTCGCGATCATCTTGTACTTTACCTTGTGCTGCAGTAAAAGATCGAAGGGGGCCGATTTGTTGTTCGAGAAGGTTGGGAAGAGTGTTGCTGATGTTTGATTGGATGAGATTTGCGATTTCAGTGGGTAGCTGATCTCGGAGTTCGCAAGCAATTAAACTAAGGAAGATTAAGATCTTTCGTTTTTGAAGAGCACTTGAGATGCCAAGATTTAAATTAATGCCTCATTGGTCGGCTACTTACCGAATTTGATGTAGCTCACACAACTGAATTGATAGTAGAGGTAACGAAATCTCGTCCTTCAACCTGTCCGCCTCCTTGAGGAGCGCCCATGCTATCTTCTTTCCGCTCCCAATGATCAATCTCCAAACCGCTCCCCCAGTTGGTTGTTTCCCAAGGTCAGATCCATATCGTGAGACTATCTTCTGTGTGAACTTGTCGACCGGCTTTTGGACGAGATTGAGTTGAGACTTGATGAACGTGAGATCATCGGGAGTAAGAGTAACGACATTGAAATCACGCAGGCGTTTCAATGTACCATGCAAGCCCTGAAGAAAATCAAGGCTACTTTGATAGCTTTCCGAGGCACCACCAGCACTTCTTAGTGATTCACATACTGTCCAAAGCACTCCAATTGCAGCAGCAAGATCTCCTGCAGACCAGCCAAAGGCAGCCATGTGTAATAGTCATAATGAAGGAAGAAACAAAACAATTCTGGATGTGGGCAGTTTACTACATAAGAATGATCAGGAATCAGTGCAGCAGATAATCCCATATGCAGCACTTGCTACTAGGTATGCAGAAGCGGAAGGTTGCATCAGCGGGCGGCTGTAAACGCATACATGACAGACAGGTATTGATTGGATCAAAATGAATGGTTTTTTCAGGGGTAACAACAACATGTTTCAGTCTCTGCAAATCGTGGATAGAATCGGCTCGTGTGAACCATTGAAATTGCCTTCAAGGCATGTTTTCGTGAGCTTATGCTGCTATTCCATTTTCTATTTCTGGGACATGTATGAATTGTAAAGCAGAAGCAAACGAGGACTTTGCGCATTTTAGAAGCACGGCTATTTGAACTGTTACCACGTGATGTACTGACCGCCATAATGCCTAATATTCTGCCGTCCACCCAAAGATAGTGCCGAGATACAGGTTTCATCCCCTCCTTCAGGCCGAATCCATCTTCATCTTCGTCTCCCATCTTCTCCACACAATTACCTCGCATTAAAGCATCATCAAAATGGAGGTAGCCAAGAATCCTATAGTCGATATTGTGAGGCTGGCTCCTCCCAATGGTGACCCGCCTATGTATGTGCAATTCATAGATAAAATACTCATCGAAGACCAACCCTCACCAGAGCTGCGTGCGGAACTCTTGACACTTCTTGAAGACCTTTTGCAAAATAAGGGGCTCGCAGATCTCGTAGGCTGGGATCTTGTGCCTACATTAATCGATGTTCCAGGCTCAGAATCTTGCTTAATCACGATTGCACGACTTGCCAATCCTCGCGAAGTTATAATATCGGTCCTGGCGGAATTGAAAAGGCTAGACCTAGATGGAATTGAAGATGACTGGCATGGAGGAGAAGCTGGGGTAGAAAATCAGGATAAATCAGCGATGTCAAACGACCTCGATCGGTTCTGTTTCATACTTAGCCTTCTTTCTATCATTCACCCTCGAATCAAAACCAAACATCCTTCACGCTTTTTAGCAACTACCATTCATGCCATTGTGCAAGCGTTCCATCCTTCCCACCGAGCTGTCATGGCGATTGGCAAGTTTGCGCACATAGTTTCTGGCAAGAAGCGACCTACATTACCGGGACGAAAATCTAGTCTCAGCATCGCCAGCGTTATGCGCCCAGAGATAGAATCAAATCTGCCTCCGGCACCCGACCCCGAAGCACAAGAAGAGGATACGTACGAATCTGCCATACAAAAGAAGCTTTTGCAAGGACTTGTGACGCATATGCTGGAAATGTACATCGATGTATATCCTTTAGAATGGGCCGGAAGATTGCAGGAATCCTTTGATCCAAAAAGAGTTGTAGCGGGTAGAACGAGTTTGGCAGAGGCATTTCAAACCACGCCCGAGTATCAAACTCGAGAAACAGTTGCTGGTCAGCTTGTGGTAAGTGCGGATACTGTGTGTCTAACATGTCAATTCTAATTCAACTAGTCCCTTGCTCGCGATCTCGAATTGGCCAATTACGATCTTTTATTCGATACTATCCATTCAGAAGAACCTATTGCACATGCTCCAAATCCCGAAGATGATCTACCGGACTCGCCTGAGGATATCCCACTTTCCCCTGTTGGCTGCCTATTCCTTCTTACTTCTCTCATATTCTCATCCGTCATGTTCAAATCGAAGACACCAGAACCAGTCATGTCTATATTCCCTGATCATGCCAAATTGGTGGCTCGATTTTTCGAATCTGCGACTGGCTCATCTATTGCCATTGTTGACGCAGTGGTTGCAATTGGGTTATGGTTAGAACATTCCAATAAATTTGTATCTGGGGAGTTCAAAGACAATGACTATATGGCACATCTAAGGGCTTTATCATTATGGTCTGCCACAAACCCTTCTCCTGGCCTCCGTTATTGTACTCACAAATTAACCTCTGCCATCCTACATGCACATCCTGTGGATGCCATAAGGTTAACTTTCATCTCAAAGACACTGAAGGGATCTTCGGATGAAATTGGCGCGATAGCACTCAAGGCATCTGCAATTACATGGCTCAAGGAAGAGTTAATTACAGCTCATGAGAGGAAGACACAAACACTTTTCTCTACCCCCTCTGCACTTTTGGAGACACAATCCCAGATCTTCCCGAATCTTTCGACGCTTGTCGACAAATTTGATGATGAATTGAGTGATGAATTGATAGAGTCATTCCCAGTCCACATGGCCGCACTCAATTTTCTATTCTTCGTCGTAGGAGAGCAATATACGAGTATTATACCTCCTGGAATGATGACGCGAGTCGAGAGCGAATATTTAACTCCATTAAAGACTGCTCAAGAAAGTGCATTGAAGTCTTTAGTCTCGGCCAACGAGATGGGAGCCCCACACATGGAATTTGAATTATTGGGCGAACAGATCTCAATGTGTTTTTTGAAACTCCATGAGAAATGATTGATGATTGACGAGTTATGATCAATGAATATAGGTGAATGAAAGAGGCTATATACTTTCTTGTACCGTCGTTCATCTGACGTCTTTTGCGAAGGTTTGGAGTATGGATACCTGGAGCATATGATTGCGAATCGTTTGTGTATTTACGACGAAATGAAAATATCAGGTTATGAGGCAGTTTGAAGAATGTGCATCTTGATGTGATAGTGATGGTCAATGATTGGCTCAGGCATGTCAGATTTTAATGATCTCGTTTGGTCTTGACCCAGAAGTAATTAGATACGTTGAATAAAATTGTCTACCCTCGATTGCTAGGTCCAATTGCATGTATTGTCACTTGTAAATTTCCAATTATCGATTTACTAGGGACACAAAGTAAACCGTTCTCCATGAAACTTAGAGTCAAACTACTGAAAGTATTCAGAGCATTTGTGTCATGCAGGGCATTGTTTTCACTGAGCACGCTTCACATAACATGGGGAAAGTCCATGATTTAGAACGACAGTATACATTCCAGTCGTATGCCAAAGTAAATCTTGTATATACAAATAATAAAGTCCAAGTATATACAACAATTGAATATCCGTACTCCCTTCCTTTTCCACCCCTCCATCTTAGATTCGACAGTTCGAGATCTAAATGCTAGCAAAAGCCGACAAACTGGATCTTGCAACTCCCTTGGAATCGAAAAGGATAGCATCAGAACAACTGCTTCCCAAAGCCGCATTATTGATCCAAGCAGGCTCCCAATAGAAAAGTCCCACTCCACCACTAACTCCCGCGACTATTGCCGCAACGTCCTTAATCCAGGTTGTTTGGCCCGCAGCACTAAATGGGATCGATGTTGCATCGGATGGGAAAGCGTAGGCAGGGGATGGACATGCGAATGGCCAGTTGGTTTCGGCGACTACGAGTTGTTTACCCCATGTGGAAGCCATGTTTGTTAAGGAAGTCTTGAGACTTGCGAGGGTTGCGGCGGAGGTATAGAATGGATAGTAGGATACGCCCATCATGTCGAAATCGGTGTTGAGGAGAGGTCCTGCTGCGAGAACGGTTTTGTAGAAATATTGTTGTTCGCTCCAGGAATAGCCGTTGTCGAGATGGATCATGATCTTGGGTTTGGTGGTAAGAGTCGAGTCTTTGATACCGGCGGAGGCGGAGTGGAGGAGACTGGCAATGTTGAAGTAGGAGGATGTGGTGCCGATGGGCCAGAGGAGTCCAGCGCGGATCTCATTTCCGATTGAGATTATCGAGGGAGAGATGCCAGCACTGGCAAAGGCGTCCGAGACTGCCAGAGTATAATTATAAACTTTCCATGCAAGGTTTCCAACGGTATCAGTTGGCCAGCCAGAAGGGATTGCCTGGTGAAGAAAGAAGTTAGTCTTGATGCTTGAAGAAATGGTATGAGTAGCAGATTTCTTTACCTGATGACTTGGATCAGCCCATGTATCACTGAAATGTAAATCGAGGTAGATGTTCAATCCAGCAGCCTTGGCACGTTTTGCAAGAGCCAAGTTGTAGGCCAAATTGTATTGGCCACTGGAAGGGTTGACCCATATTCTTTGTCTCACAGTGTTGACACCTGAAGCTTTCAAAATAGTCTCGAGGGCTTGTGTAGTACCAGCGGTATTTTTGTAAGTGTAACCACTTTTCTCCTCAACAGAGACGGACGACCAGTCGACTCCTTTGTAAGTAAGAGCAGCGAAGACTTGTGGCGCAAAGGCCAATACAGAATAGAAAAACTTCATGACTGAGAATGTGCAGAAGAATGTAGGAGGATATCCATTTTCCTCTCGTGGGAGATCTCTCCAGAGGATATATAAATCGAATCTTGAGTGATCACTGTTTAGCCGACTTGATCAACATGTTTGGAGCCGAAGTACACTTGCGGTAATGAACAGGACGCTCTCGAGTGTGCGAAGTGGATATTTGCGTCTCCACACTGAGGGCGGCACCGTCATTAGTCTGTGAGTTGGATTGACAGGGAGACAGGTTCAAGAATGACCTCCGGGGAATTCTCAATCCAGTCCAGTTCCCAATCTCGTATCTCAGACAGGTGTGGCATTTCGGTATATTATATTTTAAAAAGTGATTGTTCATCTGACTTCTCCCACGCAGCATACCTAGTCCTTCATCTGACTTATTTGTGGCCTCAATGTAACGGCGTTCACCTTCTGACCTGGTGCTCTCCTCGACACTCGTCGAGGGATATTATTGCATTACAGTATTAACCATGACCACTGAGTCCAAAAGGATTCATTAACCCCAAACTCCCGTGTTCATGGAAGACGGTTCCAGATCTGTTCATGATCCACCAAGGCGGAGTAGCCAAGTTTTCCAATCAAGACGTCTTCCTGACAGGAACCCAAACCATAAAAATCTGGGGAAACTTCAACATGGGTTGCACCCCCATCCCATCAATTAGAAGCTACATTGACAAGACGAAACGTGTTTGCCCCACCAAGTTTACAAGCCATGCAAGGGTCATTGTCACCTTATTCGTGAGTCGGAGAAAGTTTCTTACCCCTTGGATTTTACTTGCCTTTTGTTTTCGGTTGCATGCTTCCTTCTTTCCTCCTTTCCTCCTTTCCTCCTTTCCTTCTTTTCATCTCTCCTTCCATTTTTCCCTTCCAATTTTTTCCGCCCTCGTTCAGTCAGCACGCTAATGCGCGCAAATGGATGATTTCCCCCGAAAATGATCAGAATCAAATCCCGAGAAGATCACATGACACGTGACGTTCTAATTCTTTTGCTGAGTCAGTCGGCTCTAAACTTCCCCCCATCTTCGGCACGTAGGAGGAATGAATGGCAACGGAAATTTTATTTTCCATTTCGGCATTTCAAGCAAGGAATCAAGAGACTTAGAAGTCTTCCAAGAGTTTACGCATCACGAGGGTTTCCACTTCATCCCTCTCCCGCTCTCCCGAGGTACCGATTGTCTGTTCCACTCTTGTACACTTCAATCTTGTTTGCCAGTCGCGCCAGTAAACGCTCTCACTCGGCCAAGAATAGCCCGGGTGTGATCGATGTACTTCTACTTTAAGATTTAACTTTCAAAAGATATCTGTCAGCATCTACCAAGAGCTTAGTGGTGATCGATGGTTAGGTGTTAGTTACCATCTTCCATGGGAGTTCCTCCGAGATGTACCAGGAGCCATATTTGGTGTCCGCCGGTCCGAGCCGCCATCAGCATGGTCCACAGAAAGTTGGTGATTAGAATTGGGCAACATGCTACATTCTTCCCATGAAATGCCTCTGTGACTATATTAGCTCTGAAAGCCTCATAGCACATCGATTTCCTAGCAATTTCCTGGCATGGCTTCTTATTATATCAAATTCCCTTTTCACGAAAATTGAATCGATTTTCAGCCCATAGTTCTGGGTTCCAAATAGCAGTAGCTCGAACACTTTGATAATCCCTTTCCAAATCGTTCAAAGATAACTCAAACTTCAATGCTAAACTATACTGAAAGCGTCAGAGGAGGGTTGATGAACTATCCATTGGGACGCTGTCAATCCATTGAAGTATGATTGGTAAATGAAACAAAGACTCGTCTTTGATGGCTTTCTCACTTAGTGGGTTCGTGAACGATCAAAGAGATTTTCCCCCTATCTGATTCAGAATGATTTCCCCGATAGAGAGTGTCTAAGGTAGTTGAGGAATTACACAATCACATCTATCACAATCGACACAATAAAAATATTTGAGGAAATCATCAACATAAACTCAAAATGGACGAAGCAGCACTTGCAAAATTAATAAAAGATAAGGAGTATTTCGAAGAAAGGGCTTACGATAACATGAGACAGAATTCAATAATCACAGGGGAACGCGACATACTGGCAGAGGATTTACGTAAATTTCGCGTACAAGATACTTCTCATAAAAAGGCATTGGACTACTTTGGAAACATCTGGCGAGAAAATCTGTCGGACCCTGAGAGTTTTGATAAATTTATTGATTTGAGGGCGAATATTCTCTGCTGGAGTAAGAGAGAAGTAATAGAGCTCTCTCAATTCGATAATCTCCAGGGCCGCGACCGTGAATTATTGTTCGGAGAAGTAGCGAAAGTAGTCCTTCTGGATGGATCGGACAAACTGGAACTTCCAAGAGGTCTTCAGAGACGTGGTAGTAGAGCATTGGTATCTGTTCTTTGCGCTCTGCTTACCAATCATTTATATACGACTGTCTTTTCCGATCCTTTCTTCTTCTTCGGTGAAGAAACATCTCAAATCCTCAATGATATCATGTCGTTGGGCAACACTTGTAGGTTTCTTCGATTCAATTGTTTGTTACATAATATTAATCATGCATAGGGAACCTAGGTCATGCCCAACGTTGGCGTGGGGACACCTTAAGACTAATCCATCCACTACATAACACTCCAGATGAAACAATAGTCAAATCAGAAACAAAAAAGCTCTTGCGCAACGCCGCAATCTCCGCAGCCACAAAATTTATGCGGAGTCCCGCCAAATATATTATGAATAATAAGCCGGGTGCACTCCAGATACTTGAGGATTTGTATGTCAAGACCGCTGAGCATGCGTACCTAATTTGGTGTAAGAGGCCAATGATAAGGCTCCATGACCCCACTAGGTTCTTGGGCCAGCCATATGATCCTCACAATATCGAAATGGTATTACTCGATTCGGTCGCTACAGGTGGCGCTATCGAGCCAGATGGACAGCCAATATCTATGGTTACATCGCCTGCGATTTTAAGATATGGGCTTCGCGCGGCAGATGAAGGTGTTTTTGAAGAGAGATGGTGGCATGAGAAGTTCGGGTATCAACGTGCATCTGTGTGGGTTTATCTTCCTAGGCCTGAGGAATTTGACGGTGATGAGGAAAACTTTAAGCCAATGCCTCTAAATCCCCCACCCCTACACATGAAAGACTTGGAGCCAGCAACTTTTCCTCTCCGAAGTGATTTGAGCGTAGGAGATCTAGGTGAAAGAATGCTCAAGCGTTTCGACAGGGTGACTTTGCTTGACCTCGTCAAACCCTACTTAGACGACCTTGCTGAACAGCTAAGACCTGTGCTAGAAGGGCTACGCGAGGAAGTAGCGCAAAGAATTGAAGAGCGCAACGAAATGGAAAAGCAAAGAGACGAACTCAGAAATAAGTACCGCGAGGCTCTTCAATCAATAGAGCGCCTCAAATCTGGGATGTGATTTGGCTCTCAATTACAAAATGTTTTGCCCGTTGATTTTTCTCCATTCATAAATCTGAATGTAAGTCCAACAATTTCAGAGTTTCTTTTGTCCTGTTCTAAATTGGTATTTCCTGTGCGATATTTCAAATTTGTTCATTCCTCAGTTTCTTTCAAGGGGCACGTTTGTGCAATGCTTATTAATTATCAATTGAGCGAACGATAATCATGTACACAGCCGGATAAATGCTCATTAATACTATTGAGTATAGGGTCACTGGTAGACAAATATTATATGATTGTTTTATGTCGTTTTTCGAAGTTGAAATAATTATTGATTGATATTAGTTTGATATATTTCAGGTGACAGCTAGACTAAATGTTGCCACTTGGCTCATTGAAAATTCTTGTAGTTGATGTCGGTTTGATATTACTTGTGTCATATTTAGACTAATATGATGTCATCTACTTCATGTATCATCTCATGTGCTAAATACCTACGCATATTCTAATGTCTGTAAATTTAAGCAAAGGCGGTATATCTTACCCTTTGCCCCGTCCTGATATTCATGTCCGAACCGTCAATTCAGATCCGTGTCCCTGCCGAAAAGATAGCTACAATGAGCCAGCCAATGGACAGGGAAATGGTATGATGACCTCAATTACATACAAATGTTGCTGTCGTTCCTAGGAAAAAGGACATTACTCCACTCGCGATTGAAACGAGTAATACACAGAGCCACACAGTTGAGATATTTCTCATTCTTCATTGGTGACGTTGACTAAAACCAAAACTGAAAACTCAAATCCTACGCAAAGCATCTAAACTCAAACTCTTGAAACCTCGCTCGCTGGTTTTCTCCTTCTCATTATCAACCTCGACAATCTAGGACTATTGATGATGATCAGGAAATTCGATAGTGGTGTCGGATACCACTCGATAGCCAACAGCGAGCCGGAATTTTAGATTGGCTCCTCTATCACCAAATATAACTTGGATTTGAAAATGGAACTCATGAACCATCTTGTCAAGGCGCTGGTTGAATCTTGACTTGCTGTCTATGCCGAAGTTAAAATCTGCCGGGAAGTTATAAAGTATTTTGCCAACGCTCTTGACGCCTGTTTTACCGGTTAGTATCGTGGACTCTTTTAAGTCAACAGATATCTAGCAAGGGACCATGAACTTACGTGGATCGTCCATCCTATCAGGCTGTTGATCTCCTTCGCATGAATAAAGTTCAATTGTGGACTTTACAGCTTTTCCAGGGTTGTAGGGGGACGAACAACCTTCTGAATGGAACGACCCCTCAACAATCACATCGCCCTATAAGAATTAGAATCACTATCATCATACGTATTTTGGGAACCCTCTTACCTTTGAAACACACCATATCGCTCGGCCTGCACAATATTTTTGATTTGAGTAGTCATCGATGTATGCGTGCTTTTCCTCATCTATGAATTCCCGGAAGACACGGCTGATTCGGAAACCGTAATGCCGGCGAACATACTTAATGCAAGGCGCAAGTCCTTCCAGTGCCCGAATTCCAGCACCTCTTAAGACTACGAGCTCACTATTCAACAGATTAGATGCATCAAGCCACTAGAGTGTCAAGAGACTCACGGATTCTCGGGGCATAGAAGCTCGATCTTTCCATTTGAAGCACACCATGACATTAACCCGTTGTATAGATACTTCGAAGCTCCCATTCCACCCACGAGAGCTATTCGCTTCATTGAAGTTAGACAATGAAGCTGACTACATAGATATGGCAAGGTCAGGTTGAAACTTACATGGATATCTGCTTTCTTTTGGTGCTTTGCTTGGTCGACCTGCTTTTGAACTAGTTTGGTTACATGATCGACGATTGGATCGAACACAGACTTCATATCCTCACTGAAAAGATGTCAGAAGCTTGCGATAATGTATGCACAAGACTGCCAAGTCCAATTCTTACTCATAGTCTGAGTTTGAAGTGAAAACTATCATGATGGGGGTTCACACTTGCAAATCGAGGTTGACTTACGGTGATAGGAAGACAACGTTGTCGTTTCTGTCATATTGATGCGAGCTTGGCAAGTCGAAGTACAGTGGACCTAGTTCTAAGGTGTCAGCATTCTCCATGTTGCGACCGAAGCCTTTCTTCAACATCTCCCAGTTGTTCATCAGAACGCTTCCCGGACCCTTTCTCGAATATGAGATGCTGTCGAAAGCATTACCGAAACGATCAGATAAGAGAGCGTGGAGGTAACGATCAATGTAGGTAGAGCCACATTTACCACCTATGATGTCACTAATCAGCTGTGCACTTTCTATGAAGTAGATGTCATCCCTTGTACAATAGACGGCCTAGATGACCAAATGACCTTCCCATTGAGTGAATATACTGACCTGTTCCAATGCAAAGTTCTTTAAAAGTCAATTTTGGCGCAACAGAAGTGACTGTGTACGTGGTAATATCGACAGTCCCTCCCCCACAATCGCATATCAAAACATTATCACCGCGCTAGAAAATTAATCAGCATATAATTAACCATTTGAGATGCTGCAATAGCTTACCTGCACAGCATTGAGCGTTTCTGGTGCAGCAAGCTCTCTCAAGGTTGCAATCGCTGCCGCTTCTGGTTCCGCAATTGTGTGTATCTGATCCATTGGATTCGTTGCAAATCCAGCCTTCCTGGCAGCGCTCAAGGTGGCATGTTTTGCTTCATCAGACCAGATTGCTGGCAAAGTAACCCAGCAGTCTATTGGTGACATCATAAACACATCTTTTCCGAGCGTCCTTTCGGCGTATCCAGCAAAGGCAGCATACAACTCATGAAGAAAGTCCTCACAGACACCACTGCAGTTCCGATGTGTTGGCAAGTGCAGAATTCCTTCATCGATGACTACCTTTGAGATTATATCGTCGTCCTCGCCAAAGACAGCATTCTTGTCTAGAAGAAGCTTCGTCCAAGAACATGACGTCTCCTTTGCTGTCACTTCAAGGCCCCATCTGTCTGACTTTATGTTCGTATTCTCTTTCGCATATGCATACCTGGATGGGATCTTCCTTATTTCGGTTTGGAAATCGGAGTAAAAAGGAACAAATCCAAGTTCATCGCCAGTTTTCATGGTGCTAAGGCCAAAAAATAATACCTAGACATGTATGAGCAAGGAGGGAAGAATTTGGTCAATAATACACATCAGAAAATGTAGTTCCATAATCTATGGCAACAATGATTTTATGACGTGGCGGTAACCCTGTAGCAACTGCTTTGTTGGGACCCCGAAATATTACCAGAAAGTTGAGATGTCATAATGTGAATCTTGCGCTGGTGTTGGTGTTGTACGTTGATATGAGAGTTTAGGATGTCTGATGAACTCGTTTTGGAGGGAATGAGAGCAAAGTTATCAAATTATACAAACGCGTATTTTTTCCATACGTGATTACTCTTGCATCATTCAAAACAGAGAATTCCGGAGCTTTCCACACACAGTGGAATGTCTCTGGAGGCCGCATACTATGAAACAATTCTACTGCTATCTTGACAGTCGGCGAAATTTTCACATAACCCGTCGAATTGTATCGGCAACTTTAATTGGAAAGGAACCGTACTGAATTAGTCTGATTGCCATAAATGCTACACATGTTCCCCAAGTTGTTCACTTGAAAGAGGAAATCGCGAAAGATGGGACTTCAAGCCAGTTTTCAACATTTCATCTTCAAACTGAAGAGTGAAAATCGAAAAGGTCACATTTACCCCAAACGGAAGACCCTATCATGCCACGAGAAGCGACAGAACAATTCTTGGCCGTTCAGGAGATTCTCCATTTCTAGCAGGGTTCGACTGATGACCGCCCGCTTCAAAACCCACACTACCTGTCCCTCCAAATACAAAACTAACGATGGAGAATGTTCTGTGGCAGATCAGGTAGAAGGTTTGTGCGTTGGATCCACAGAGGCGATGAATCCTTGTTCAGAAGTTCCTTCGAATAGAACATTTCCGAATCAAACCGCATCTGCGATTTCTCTGAACTCAAGAAACAAGCCACCTGCATCTGCCCACGTAGGTCACGATGCTACGCCATCCGCTGAGGTTGAGAGGCATACGGGTGTTGCAAAACGCGACCTTATCATGGTCGATGTCCTTCCTAAACATTCTACACATTCCGACAAGCTTCGAGAAAATTCGCCATCTACCCTGAATTCTCAAACTACCCCCCCATTGTCTCCGACCGATCGAGACATTGTTCGAAATCAGACTTCGCCAACAAGCGTTCTACCTAAAGAGCCGTTGCCTAACGCGATTTATGTTTCAAACTCAACCCAGTCTTATGATTTTCCAATGGCTAGTAGCCGAACTCTGAAGAGATTGGATGACGAGGTGCACCGGAGTTATGAAGAGGTTCGAACATTGAAGAAGGAGATAGTCGGCCTGAAGGAGCACGAGTGGGAATTGCAGCAAATAAATCACCGGGACAGAGAAGAATGTAGTCGAGCGGTACAAGCTCTTCAAGAGACGGCATTCAAGCCGTGGAGAGCGGGAAAATGGCTTCCTACTGAGCATGATACCATTAATCTTGAGATTTCTACACTTCAGGCAGCAATGAGCGGATGGATACGGGGTGCAACAAGTGGCGACTCTCAGCTCGATAATTTATCTGAAGTGTTCCAAAGAGAAGCCCAGGACAAAGATGCATTAAGTGAAGAGCTGTGGAAAGTGATGATCTTCAAAAACGATATGCTGCCTGAAGGACTACCTCATAAACGGGCCAAAAAGTTCTTGCTAGAAGCCCTTCTTGCTCATCATCTTTTCACGAATGTTTTCTCGTCGCCTTTCTTTTTTCTCGGAGATCAATCAACGAGCTTGGATTCTATGTATCGAACGGGATTATCATGTATGTACACTCATTTTCTATTGCACGACCTAGCTAACGTACACAGGGAGTGTCGCAGATGCTAACAAATGGCGCTCTGATACACTGAGGCTGTTATCCCCGGAGGCTTCGAGAGATGATAAAGCTGAGGCTGTCAGACTCAAGATTCCACCTTTACTTGATGATAGAGCGAACATTCAAGCAGCGAACTTCTTCAGAAGCCCTGCTCGGTGCTTCTTCGTTACAACCCCAGAGCTAACGATCAGTCTTCAAAAGATATACTAGCAGGCCGCTGGTCTAGCTTACCATCTCTGGACTCGACGATCAATGCTCAAAATAGTGACGCGCAAGGACTTGAACTCTTTGTTCCACATTGATGACCGACAGATGGCTCTACATGGTAGCGTGCAAGAAGATATCGAAGATACGCTAATAGGCCAACCCGTTAGTCTGGTAATGTACCCCGGTGTTGTGTCATATGGTTTGGACGAGTGCGTGGATTATGAAATTCCACGACCATGGATTCCAGCGAAAGTTTGGTTGCACAAGCGGTTGCACACGCCTTTGTCGGAAAAGCCGCAAGTACCAGTTGGGGAGGATTTGGAGATGAAAGGATAGGAGAAAACAAATTGCTTTGGAGGTTTTCAGAAAGGTCAAAATCAATGAGAAGGGTTTATGCCCTAAGATGACTTTCTTGGGTTCTGTGTTCGGACGAGGGTAGATTGTTAGGTACCGCATAGGAGTGTTGCAGTTAGTTTACTTACCTGAAAATAATAGGCTGTGTACCCAGACCATGCCTTGGACTGTGGGATAAGTGAATACAGAGTATATCTATGTGAAATTTGGTCGGTCTGTTGTTATCGAAAAAATCGTGTGCCTTGAAAGAGACAGCTCGAGAGGGTTTCCCTTCCCATTTGTGCTTCCACTCCCAGACTCAAGGGCAATAAATCTACGTATGCAGCCGCATAACCCCAAAATTAATGTTATGCATTGGAGCTCTCCAATATTCTGAAACGAGTCGGGGGAGAAAGAAGACGGGTCTACCCATTCCCCAATAACTGACAGTCGCTGATGAGAAAAGAGATAACACATCCAAAATATACCAAACTTACTCAATATAATATGCATACCTACTCATCACCAAATGCAATTTCATAGCCCAAAACCATCCCCAAGTATATCTATCCATCTCCATCAATCACAATTTCACAATTTCCACATTCATCCCAAGAACTAAAACTTCCTTTCCCGCATCTCCAAGCATGGCACTATACTCATAGATGCATATATACTCTCAACCAAGCGAACCGCACCAGAAACCTCCAAAGAACACTTAAACAGATTTTCTATTTCCTTGAATAACATCAAATATCCGTCACAGTCGCGAGGACATTTTTCTATGCATCCGTGATCCTTAATTAGCATCAAATCGACATATCAATAATAACTCGTTATCTCAATACCAACTTGCCATATCAACCCCGAAACCCATCATACCATCATCCCACCACCACAGAACTTTTCCTCTCATCTTACTAGCTTCCCAGCTCCAACCCGCCAAATACATCGCCATCATCACCATCCCCTCTATATCTCCAACCACGCAAACAAGCAACCAACCAGGATACCAAGAAACCCCCTCTCCTCGCCGTCTTCTCCTTCCCCCCGAGAGAAAATACACCAAAAAATGCGCCAAAAGACATACCTCCACCTCCCCAAATCCGCCTCTCCAAACCCACCTTCACTATACCTCCACCTAACCACCAGCAAACCAATCTCCAATCTCCAATCTCCAATCCATCTCCATCTAATCTCTCAAACCCCATAGAAACTTCATATTCCATCCATCCGACTAACAACTGATAACTCGCAATCCACAATCCACAACCAAGATTAAGATTAATATGAAGACCGCAAGGTTTTGAAACTCTTCCCATCTCCTCCTCTCCATTCCCCTTCCTTTCCCTCAAGTCCCAATCGCACCAATGATCCTCAAACCCCCCTCCCTCCTATTCTCAACGATAACAACAACATGAAGAGCAACAAGACGATCAGAAAACCATGCACAGACAAAAGCAAAAGAAAAGAAAAGAAAAGAAGGAAAAAAAGATGTAGAAAATCAAACAGGCCAAAGCCACAGATCGAGGCCACGGGTCGGGACCGCGCGTCAAGGCCACAGATCAAGAAACGCACACACAGAACAATCAACAGACCCGCCGAGCCGGAACAGACAAATCGCGAAAAAGAAAATAATAATAGTAATAATCATAAACAAAAAGAAAGAGAGGACATCAAAAAAAAAAAAAAACATTCAGCATAAAGTAACAAACATCAAACATCAACCTACTCCCCCCCCCCTCCCCCCAAAAAACAAGAAACCCATCACGAGTACAGAACCACTGTTCAAGGAGTTATTTCCTCATTTTCCATTATCTTTCCCTCTTTCCCTTCCCTTCCCTCCCCTCCCCTCCCCTCCCCTTCCCCAACTCTCCGCCCTTCAATCCCTTCAACCTCCCGCCCCTTCAACCTACTCAGCTACTCATCCACCTATTCATCTAATTTACCTAACATACCCAGCTACCCTGCTACCTACTTATCTAATACACCCATATGCCAAGAGCAGAGATCAAAACAAATAAAAGAAAGATAGCCTGTCATCTTCATCTTCATCTTCATCTTCATCTTTGACAAAGAAAGCAAAGGGAAAAAAAAAGAGAAGATAGAGACTTAAACAACTACATTTTATTTATCTACATCAAAACATACACACATGCCCCAATTTTCTGATCGATCCATCCACCGGATAAATCCTGGCTACCCCATCCCAAGAGAAGCGAGTAAACAGAGATATATCATATCATAATACAAACTGATACCACCACCAATAAAACCCAAGGACCTCCCTCTTTCCCTCCCGACCGACCCAACGCCTACTTCCACACTAACGAGTACCAAAAGCACGTTACTTAATACATACACCAAAGGAAAGAAGAAAAAAAGCCAAGTAAGAAACAACAGTCTCAAGATACAGTTACACAATCCGAATCTATCCATACATCCATACATCCAATAAATCCAGAATCTAGAATCTAACCCCCGCACCACTTCTCGTCCCCGCTACTTTCCCCTTAACATCCCACGCCCAATTCTTCCCCTTAGCAGCATCAAATGCCCTACCCACTCTCAAGGCATCGCGAACCATTATTGGTTCTTCCAATAGATGAGCATAAGTATGATACGGCACGGAATTAGCTGAACCCTTCGGTTTTGTTGGTGCATCCTTTCCCATTAATTTTCTCTTCTCTTTTATGATATCTTTGAGTTCTTGATCGTCAGCAGTGATTTGAGCTCTGAGGAACATCAAGTCTGTAGATTTTTGAAGGGATTCCATGACTGGGATGCGGGGTTCGTAGGCGATGTCGGAGAGGTTTGGAGGGTCTGTGGGGACGATGGATGGGTCGAGATGGGCGGAGGGTTGGAGAAGAAGTTGTTGGATATCTATTGATTCGCCATGAGGTATTGCAGTTTTGTGTGAGGGTGTGATACAATCCATATCGACTTCTTTTCTTAAAACGTGATCAATATCAACCGCTGAAAAATAGGCGCAGGACTGTGGTAGATCGTTAATTCCCATTTGTTGAGAAAACATGGCTCGCGTCCAGAGATTCGATACTTGTAATGCTAATGCAGCACGATATCTATCTTCGTCTTTAACTAGATATCTGATTTCATCATGAACAGTTATGGCTAGACGAGCATTAATATTGTAGCGACGAATGATGTAGTCCATGGAAATGATGAGAAGATGCAAATAATCTACACCTGAGGATTGAATTGCCCAATTGATACGTGATGTCATAAAACCACCTTTGGAAACAAAACATGCCATCAGGGCTTCTGTTATTCCTGCACCTAGGACCGGAGTGCGTGGCCTTTCTTGCTCTGCAAATTCTTCTAACTTGTTGAAAACAAAACTTTCGGTTCCACCACGCCAAAAAGGCGCGGGGTAAAGAATCTTTCTATTGGTTTTGACACCTTTGGTAGCCTTATAGAGGTTTCCAGCTGTGTGTGAGGTTTCAGCTTCCGAGAGACTAGGGTTGAATTGCCGAAGTAGAGTTGAGGCGAACTTCAAACCAGCTCCATAAATTCGACCATAGTTGAAGACCTTAGCATCATTACGGGTAATACCCAGGATACCAGCTGTGCGAGAATGGAGATCCGTACCTGCTGCTTTGGTACCCTCTAAAGTCATGAAACCGACAGCATTACCTCCATGTAGTTTGAATTGGGCATCTCCAACAAGACTAGCGATCCATAGCTCTTCAGAATCCACATCTGCACCAACGAAGGAATACCCAGGTGGAGCCTTTATCATTGACTTTAGTTCTGAACCGACGCGATTCGCTTTGGCATTACTTGCTGTGAGCCATGTGTTCTCCACTGCTCTTCGGGTCACGGTCCCCATGGGAATGATTTGTGGTAAAATGTAGCCCGTTTCCAATTCGGATTGCGATGTTGCAGGCCCTTTTGCTCCATCTTTCTCATAGACGGTCATTTGAGACTGTATACGATGTCTTGCACTTATCCAATAAGAACAAGAAGCATTCATCTCAAGTGCTTCCTTTGCATATGAAAATTCGGACGAAAGAATGCCTTTGTCGAAGTATTGCACATAACTTTTGGCCATTGGATTTCCACATTTAGCCAATGGACCATCCTTGTGCGGGATTTTAAAGTAAGCGGCGGCTCTATCGTCTCGCAGAGTGATATCAGATTCTTCGAATGCATTGCATTCTTGCATTTGTTTCTGTTTATAATTGTGAGCCTCTTCGATAGGAACTCTAAAAGTCCAGCCATATTTGTGGGACCACACTAATGGATACCCATCCCAAGCCAAACGTAGAAGCAAGGGTGCAATTCGAGTACGAACTGATAAGTTAATAGGACCAGAAACTTTCGGGTAAAGATCTTTATACCATTGAGGCTTGCCAGGCATCTTCTGTCTTTTAGCTGGTCTTGATGGTTCCGTTTTCGTTGCCTTCACCATTTTGATCTCTTGAATAGTCCAATCGAGTTGTTTTAGCCAAGGGTCATCCTTCCATAACTTAGGATCATCTTTAATCTCTAACGCTTTATCTTTCAAAGCAAGAAGTCGTTCTTGTACCGCGTCAGACAACTTGTGATAAGTAGCTTCGGCATTGGCGAGATAAGATTCCCACGATCTATCAATTGGAAGTATGACCGATGAGAGATGTCTCAATGCTGCAAAGCTGACTGGATGCGGGCACGTGTCGACAAAATTGGGAAACACTCTTTTGTAAACTCTATGGGTAATGTCAACATCCGCTGCACAATAATGAAGTAGTTCATCCAGTTTTGCCATGATTCCTTCGCGATCACATTCCCCAAATGCATCTCTTACCGCTTTGTCGATTGTGACGTTGAGGTGGAATTTTGCAACATCTCTTAATGAATTGACGGAGCTTCTGCCTATCCATAATTCTGCTTCTTCTTCTTCTGAAATAGACTTGTGTCCTAGCAACGCTGCCAATTCCGCGCTGTCGGTCTCTCCAGCGATCTTTTCACGTGATTCTCGATCCTTTCGATGTTTCATCCAAGTCGGTCTTTGACGTGAACACATTCCATTGACAGCAACATGTAATGACATCGTATCCAAGAAACAGTTCTTCGATTGATTGATGTCGTATTCCTCAGCTACCCTGGCTCGATCATAACCAATATTATGCCCCACGATAATTCGTGGTTTCTTTGCATCTCCGAGGGGTATCAATTGACGATCATTGTCGGTCTCCCCCAACAGCCACGGCGATAACCAAGAATACCAATTTGTAGGACTAACAGCACACGCCATTACAGCAAACGAACTCTGTTTCCACATCACTTCCGTATCAAAACATAACATTTCTTCATCTGGTGCCAGTATCGTCTCCGGCGTGCCGTCGCCACTGTATCTCGTCCATCCACTTTGAAGTGCCCATTTTAGCGGCCGGGGGGGAGTTTCTGTCTTAACAAATTGCTTCGCATATGTCATGTATGGTTCGGAAGCATCTACACCCAATTTAAAGAAATGCTCATCGAGTGTATCACCTTGTAGCTCGGGAAGATCGAAAGATATTGGAGGAGTATTGTCTGTGTTCTTTCCAAGCAATTCATGCCTGTGCAGATGATCTTTTGAAAGATCGACGAGCTCCGGAGAGGGAGGCGATTGAACGTCCTTAAATAGTTGATCGTATATATGAGTACTTATTTGTTGAACTCCTATCTCATTGAATCGAGGTGGATCTGGGTCTTCTACTTCCTTCTTAGCTGACGTTCAAATTAATTGTGAACGTCTTGTTCTACATACCCAATTGATCTTCTACTTCGACCGACACTTGCACCGGCTCTCGTGCAGAATCTTGTGCTGATCCATTTGATTCTGTGGTATGTTTTCGCCAATGCGCAAAAGATATCGGGGTACCTTGAGCTTTCTGTGCTTGATATTGTGCAAGACGAATGAAGCTTGCGCCTGGTCTACTTGCACGACCAACGCGGAACGAAAGAAGCATAATATGGAAGAAAATCTTATTCAAATCATTATCTTGATCAATTTACATACTTGGTAGGTAGATAGGTACCAATATCAGAATCTCGAGCAAACATGAGATGAAACGAATCTATTGATAACCTTGGAAGTGACGTCCTTCATAAGCTTCAAAAAGTGTCGGGGCTAATTTTTTTTCTCGGGCGGGGGTGGGCAATTGATGATAAGGATACGCAAGGCTGTTGAGTGTAGCCTCGTGTGGCTTTACGAGGCTGATGAGGATCAACTTTCTACCAATCATTTCGATTGGTAATCACTCATAACAAGTACATACATACTATTAGGTGCGTATTCTATCAAGTTCTCTTGGTTCCTTTCCCCCCTTGTGGTGTGGTACCCGTTCAATGAGAATGATTTCTAGGACCGGATTTTACCAAAAGGCTCCGAATACATAGGTAGCCCGACCTACTACTTACCTCGATGACCTAGAAACACGAGGCTGATGTGTCAGCCTTCTGCTGACTAATACGATGCCAAGTTCCCGTTATCGATAACTCGAAAACCTTCTTTCTTTCGCTCCGAGGATCTCGTCTTTGCTTTATCTTTATCCGACCTGTTATCCATACTGAACTGCTACTCCTGGACAGAGATAAGACAAGACAGAACTTCGGAGTTTTATACCCATCATTAGCTAGTCCGTACCCAAGGAAGGGGAAATATCGCCATCATTGATCATAGTATAAGTATTCCACGAGCAGCAATGTTGTTTGGGTCTATTTCTTTCCTTCCGTTCGTATGAAACTACTTTCCTTTGGGTTTTGTCCATTGCTACTCGTTTGATTTTGATAGCGTAACCTTCATTAAACTAATCAACGGAATTCATCACACACACACACACACACACACACACACACACAATAGGCATTAATACTCTACAGCGCCCAAGTCTCAGGAAAATTGAATTCGTCGCTCGTCCGCAGTATAAGGGGAAAATAGAACAACAACAAGAATATCGATAGCAAAGCAAACCAAAGCAAATCAACCCATTTATTCCTAACCTCACTCTCACTCGCACTCCTCTCGCTGTCACTCTCGTCACTCTCGTCACCCTCACTCCAACTCTCGTGAAACTTTGTTACGGTTAGACGGAATATGGGTTACTTACCGTACTCTACAATGAACTAGATACCTAAGGACGGTACTCGACTCTCCTTTCTATCTTTTGACTTCACACCTTTCTATGCCCACCTATCTACCTACTCAGGTATTTTCTATACTGTCAATACTCTCTCATTCCATTTTACGTACATCGCACAAAAGTTGGCACATTGATAGGATTTCACTGTTTATCTGTCTGGTGTATGAATGAGATGAGAAACTAATATTGTACTGTGCTTGAATTTACGGAGCACTCATGCTATCTTCATTAATTTTGCATCCATACCAAAATGACCTCAGGCTATCCATATTCACCCCGTTACAACAACGACAACAACAGAAATCCAAATCCGGCATCGACTCCCAACTCGAATCCAAATAACCATTCACTATGGAACAACGACTCTTTGGCTGGTAGAGGTGAGGAAACTGAATCTTTAACTTTACCCCCAATTAGTCGAGCAAATCCCGAGAATAGATTGGAGCTACCTGCAACATCATCATCACCACTTTTTGTATCAGATTCCCATACAGGTCAAACACAGCCAGAACAATCTTCTCATAGTCTCGATTCAAGGAGCAATGCATCAGCAATGATACTTGGAGCCGTATCCGCCTCTACTGCTACTACAACAACAAATTCAAATTCAGAACCTAGCGAAAACCGTACAAAACGCCCTCGGAGCTCATCTCCCCCCGATCTTTTTTCTTTTGATCCTTTCGACGAAACCATCCGGTATCGATCACCACCTCCACTACCACCATCAAATCAAAATTCACGACCACCCTCACAACCAGGCAGAGGGTCTTCCTTTTACGACGACGACGCGGAGGCCTTAACAAATTTCGACTGGGACACCTTTCTTTCACAAGACAACGAAAACGACGAGGAGATTGACGATCCATTTGCATCGCCACCACAAATACCTAGTCGAGCTTCTGATAGTTACGGTGTAGTTGATCTTACTGATTCATCACCGGCTATGGTTCCCCCACCAGAAAGACGCAGAGCTCTTAGCGGCACCAGTCTACGCCCAGCTGCACTCACTAGACCAAAATCCCCAAAACGACGAAAGCCAGATCTCTCAAAGTCTACACCTGTAAAACGTCGCAAGCTTTCACCATCAGAAACAAAACCAGAGGAAGATGTCGAAGTGGTTGATCTCGCGGAGAACTCAAATTTAGAAGAATATGAAGCTGCGAAGGCGAAAAGACAAGAAGACCTGATCAAACAACAAAACCAGGATGAAGCAACAAAACCGGTCAAATTGGTGGAGTTCCAGTGTATCATATGTATGGATAACCCGACGGATCTGACGGTAACACATTGTGGTTTGTTTTCCACAACGTTCTTTTCTAGCACTTCTAATATCATATAGGCCATCTCTTTTGTTCCGAGTGTCTTCACTCAGCATTACACGCAGGGAACAACGGCAGGAAATCATGCCCGGTTTGTCGAACTTCAATTAGCACCACCAGCCTGTCCGGTCGAAGGCCACCCAAGAATGGTACATTTTCTATAGCGATCAAATTAATGACGGCGAACAAAATGGGAAAGAAACCCAAGAGGAATTGATGGCGTCGTTGAAAGACGTCTGGGGGTATATCATATCAGGGGTTTAAAAAATGGGCAGCGGCAATGGAGGAACTTCTATCGATTGATTCATAGTAAAGACCACGGCGTTATGGGCTGGATGGAATGGACTGGACCGACAAGATACCACATCTGGAAATTGGGGCCCCAACACTTGTACAATGTCAAGCTGGGGCAGATCAGATAAATATCACTTCTATGATTTTTGTGTGTGCGCAATAGCATTATACGAAGATAGATTGGGGGTGGTTGAGAGATCTCACTATATTTATAACACAATGCAATACTTCCTGCATTAAAATACAAGATATCAAGGAAAATATTGCCCTTTTCAGGGTTTGCTTCCGGAATCGGCCATTTATTCATGATGCAATAGTGCTATTTGGTGCTATCATTTGTGAAGTTAGTGAAAAAGAGCATCACGCATAATGAGCCCTCAATATGCATATATTCTCAATTCACCATACAGTAGGTCATGTTTCTTTTGTGTGATCACAGGTAGGTAGGTGTTGTCTTTATCTGAACACTCGAACTCTCGATCAGGACTTCTAACATGCACCTACCTATTCATTACAAGGAACCTACATTCATCTGTTTGAAATGACGATATCTAATACCTCACAATTGGACGTATTAAAACACTCTACAGCGACTTAGTCCTTGAATCCCATATAATTTTCGTGGACTATCATCACATGCTTCTTATCATGACACTACGTCAATTCTATCTACTCTACATGTTATTTGTACCTAAACTAGAGCAACAAGATGATCAGAGGCATGCATCAAGATTGTTACCCCTCTCTTTGATCTTCATATCATACATACGTGAAACACTTGATCAATTCAATTGCTTAGAACTAGTATACATTTCCATAGATTCTCCAGTTCTCGTGGGCTACCCAGGCAAACTGGGGAAATCAACCAACAACCAAGTGACTGACGTGGGCAATGAATACTCGTCCAAGTACGGAGTGTTACCCTATGTTTACTTGGGTTACCTCCTCATTTCCACATCTCACGAACTATACCGAGCCAACAGAAGAGCCAGCACTTGTGGTGTTCATGTGATGTTCATGTCTTATCATGTATTATCATGTCATGTCAACGCTGGATTCGAGCACCAAAATACCGAGGCTCGGAAGCGTGATGGGAGTTTCGAAACACAGCTACTGATTAGCTTAGCTATGGTGACTGACCATTTGTTGTGCTGGTCGTTCCTTAATCTCGTCAGTCACTTGTACAAGCTCTCGAAGGGGGTCTGGGGTATTTATTTGCATTCTCTCATTCATTGGCACTCGATGCTGTACGATGTAAGAGAGCGATGAATCCATGATGTGCTCCGGAGTCCGTACACTCTCTGTAGCATGTACCAGGGGCACACAAACGGTACGGGGAGCAGTCGATCCGTATCGCAACCATTACGCAGGTTTGCAGTCCGCCTCTCTCACCGTTATTTGAGGGATCTGATGCCATCTCCATAATTAAGCCAAAGCCTAACCGAGCTAACCTAACGAGCCAGCAATAAGCTGCAGCGAAGAATCTTCAGCTGCAGCTAATCAAGCTCCAACATACTTTGTACAGGACTAGGCAATAAAGTACAGCAAATGCATGCATCTGGGCGGAGTCTTTGCTCGAAACGAATGGATAATTTTGTCCATTTACCGGATTTTTCCAATCATGACTCCTCATTGACTCTTCATTATTATTCACATCATCCAATTCTTACCACCAAAACGGTCAAATGTCAAAATCGAGTTATGTAGGTAAGAAAATGCTCCACTCTGAGGTTTTTGGACGGAGTAGACTCTCGTGTTTCATCGTGAGGCGAGAAGTTTCGCTGGCAAGTTCTTGATGGTTGATCCGCTTACCTTTTGCTTTGCAGAGTCCTTTTTTTTTGCTTGTGAATTTCATTTGCGGCATGTTCATGATAGGAACCACGTCAGGTGAAAATGGGAACATTTTCAAGCGTCCCCATTCTTATCGAATGAAATGTACGCCTTGTTTTCCGATGTGAAAAGGGAAAAGAGACGGAGTTGGATATTATTAAAAAGGGAATTGTTTAGAAGTCTACCGCTTTTGTTTGGATAATCGATAAGCTCAATCGTTGTGAAGTGGGAATATGAATATATTTCACCGCATATCTTTCCTTTTCTTGTGCTTGCCGATTGTTCAAGCTTCATATCTTCATATCTTTGATATTTTTCATATTGCAGCGTGAGAAGTGTGTTCATATATCGTCAGTATCATTACATATTGAAGAGCTGCACGCACTACGCCTTTATATTCTTAACTTTTTCCCTGCATTTCCTTACCGATACTCTCCTCCCCGCCCCCTCGGTTTTATTCTAGCTGCTGGACGGCTTGGTCAGTTGGTTACTTTTGCCACTATCACATTATCAACACCGCTTTTTGGTCTCGTACCTATTTTTAACTTGGCGGAAAGGCGGAAAGGTATTCATGTCCTGTTGCAATATATTCAACTGTCTGCCTTCTTCTTCCAACCTTCTTCGAAAGTCGAGTGGTAAAGCGAAGCTTTCCAATTCTTCAGATATGAGGAACGACGATAATTTGGCTTATGGCACGATGGATACCGACCAATCTCAGACGGGTACTGGTACCAATGAACGAACTGAGAGGCCAAAGAATGATAGAAGAAAAGTAAGTTTGGTATCCTTTGTTCATCGATTTTTTTTTACATGTTAAATAATACTTGTTGGACTAAACTATCATTTCCGATACAAATGTTAACAAATCTCCAGACAACTTACACTTTCCCCATCAAAATCATGCCCTCACCAAAATCTGCAACTACAGCCAGCGCCAATCTCACTCCGGAATTCACAGAATTCGATACCCAGGCTTACTACAACGAATCTCTAGATTACAACTACATATCTTCCCGATTTGCCTTTTCCCTTGGTTTAAAACCAGATGCCGATCGTGAAGCTAAGCCACGCTCAAAATCTGTATCGAAACCAAAAATTCCCTTTAAGCCAAAGCATCTAGCAAGATCTCAAACCGCACCAGTTGCTGAAATTAAGCCCCTTCAAAGATCAAGGACAGAACCGCTTTCACGAAGAATCTTCTCGCCTTTAGGTAGAGAAAGTATCATAGAAGATACACCGCCTTCTACATCTACAGCTCCAGCTCTTCCACCTAGAATCCCACCCAGAAGAACTTCCACAACTGCTACTCTCGTACCTTCCAGTGCTCAAGCTCCTCCCATTTTCTCGCTTTTGGAACCGACGCCAGAAGCAATCTCAAGATCGAATTTAACTAGTCCGTTATTTCCAGATGCTAATCTAAATCCTTTCTCGCCAAGACCGGGAGCCACTTTTGGGGCGATGGTTGTTGACACACCACCGAGAACACCACAAAGACCTCAAATATTACATACACAAACAGAGGGCAACCCTAGTATTTTCGAAGCATTAAATTCACATCCTGTGATTCCATCCATTACAAATGTTCCGACAATTCTGACTGAAGAGCCGGAAGGGATGTCAGAAGAGCCAGAAGGTACATCTTCTGGAACGGAACGAGAACGTGATCTCGAAGGAATGGGAACCGGTACTGGAATTGGAATGGGTTTTGGTATCGGAGAAGAAATTCGTGGTCGAGAGATTTCGGATCCAGATTCCATGACAGGTGATCTAACACTTCATTGGAAATCTTCTCCTTTATCACGTTACACACAACGGACCGTTTTCTGGATCGTCCCAAATGCGAAATTTGATCTCGTGTTTGGACACGATGAAACGGATTTCAATATTCCCATACAAAATCCTCCAAAGTGGGGTTTGAGCAATTGGGGAATTGGACAGGGGAGAGGAAGAAGAGGAGAAAGAAATCAATTCCGAGAGGGGATTAGAAGAGGAGTTCTTAAACCAGTAGAGGAACAAAGTACCTTTTCGTTACTGTATAGTGCGACGAATTTGATGGATGCGTGGTTAAGACCACCTTATCAGATTAATGGACGAGCACACTCGCAGCATTCGGACTCGAAACCGCTGCTTTCGAATGGCGATGAAAATGGAGGCATTCATGAAATATCATTCACGTTACCGGAGTTGGAATATCAACTCAGGAATGAGTTGAAGTGTACGGATGAACGGAGACGCAAACATGAGGGGAAGAGAGCAGTTAATATCTGGGATGTTAGGGCCGGAAAGGCGGTTTTAGCCGAGCAAGCTAAGGGCGCTAGTGGAGAGATTAGAAAGTTGGTGGGGGCCGTAGTAAAGGATGTCAGGGAGAATGGAGGCAAAAAAGCTGCGGAAAGTGGGAACAAGACTTTGGTTGGGAGAGCTCCTCGTGAGGAACCGGAAGTGGAAGCTGCACATGATAAATTTGTATATGTGGAGAATCCAATTTCCGCAACTCCTGCTCCCGTTGTCTCAAATGAAGATGTCACAGCAGTCAGCAAACCACAAGCAGAATCTTCCCCCGCCACCTCTCCACTCCTCCCCGCCGTCGCTCCTCTCCCTAACCCCCAAACCTTTGATCTCTCCCCTACTACCGCCAACGATACCGCAAATCAAAGTCCCAGCTCCTCTCTCCGTGTCGAATTCACAGATGCGCAATTGCAAGCACAGATTCACGCGCAAATGGAACGAGAAATGGAACGTGAAATGGAGCAGGATATGGAACGCGAAATGCAGGCGCAAATTGAAGCTGAGATGAACGCTCAATCCCAAGCTCACTCTCCATCTCACGACGAGGTAAGAGATGAAGTGAGAGATTTGCCACCCGCGCTTCCTCCCCGTCCTAGAAGATTCGAAAGATCCTCAACTTTTGATTTCGGATCTGGAGATGCAAAGGCAAATGATGAGCCACCCAGACGCTTATTAGCCCGCTCTTCAACTTTTGATTCTCCAGCTTCTTTCACGACCTTGAGAAAGTCAGATCGTGATATACATGCTTCTATCTCGGCACTTCGTTCGGCTCATAATGACGATGAGGATGATGAGGAAAATGAAGCAATGTCTGAGATTATGGTTTCGCGCATCCCGGTTCGTGAGTTAGTTTTAGAGGAGGAAGTCGAATTTAGTGTTCTTCCAGATCGAAGTTTCGGGACCCTGAAAGAGAGATTCGAGATGATGTGGCAGGGAGAGGATGAGAGAGTGCATTCTGAGAGGAAGATCTGGAGAGGGAAGTTTAGAGGGGTGTTGGAAGAGTTGTGTAGAGTTGTTGCAGAGAAGTGAGGTGTGATGGGATGAGGTGAGAGGGAAATTTGAGAAGGAGAGCAAAGGGAGATAGGAATCGAAAAGAGAGTCACTGTGTTTGTTATATGAACACGATTCTCTACTCGGTCTGGAATGTTGGGCGGGGCGAGTGGAGAGGGGGGATCCACTTTGACAGCGCAGCTGGCGAAGTTGTGAGGATGTGGAATGGTGATGCGGGGGGGGCTTGGCGGTTTGGGATAGCATGGATAGCATGGATGGGATGGAATTTCTTTTTTCTACTTCTTTTGTTCCTTTGGCTCTGGACTTTACTTGACAGGACTTGTGGTTGTGGTTGGTTTGTGGTTGGCTTTCACTCGCTTTGTTACCTATTTGTTTATTTGGTTCTTGTTTGGTTGTTTACTTGTTTGCTGAATGGATCGGCTTGCTTGGGTTTGCTGAGTTCGTACATATCACTATCTATATCATGGGAATTTTGGGATGGGTTTTGAGGAATGGATGGGTGTTTACGGCGCTCTTTTTTCTTTTGATTTCTTGGAAGGGACTTGTGGATTGCATTGATGGATGATGGATGATGGATGATGGATGGATGGGATGTTTTCTTTTGTTTGATGGAGGGATTGATGATGATATATGAGATGGATGATGAGACTGATGAAACTGAGTGAGATTGATAAGATGAGTTGATATACCTATACCTATACCTATACCTATAGTCTGTATGAGAAATGATATACAAGATTCCATACCACATTTACGATCTTTACAATGTTTGTAGGTTGCAAGAAGTGATTGATATCAACGTATACCTCTGTATGTACATGCATATATGCATATATGATTTATTAGCTCATAACCCTCCCTCTATGGTTTCAAAATCTAAGTTAAATCTATTTCTTATTCTAGTTTCTCTATTAGATTATTACCCTCTCTTACTCTTGAGTCGTATACATATTCTGTACTCTATCTTTTCTTCTCTCCCTCTCTATTTCATTCTATTGTATTGATTTACTAACTCTAATCTCTTGATATATATTACACCAGAGAAATTTCGTATGTTCTAATGACATAACTATCACATCAAAAATTAGCATAATTCAATCTCATTTTAATATCCATCATCTCATTATTCTTTAATAACCACTCGAACAATCAAAATCAAATATATATATTCAAATTATATTTATTAAAAGAATATACTCCATCCCGTTTCAAAATCATATTAATCCCCAACTCTCATCTCTTAATATATCACCAAATCAATTTCGTATATCCCAATAACATAACTATCACGCCAAAAGTTAGCACAATTCAATATCTTCTCATCACATCATCCACTTTTCCCTCTTCCCTTCCCAACCATCCAAACATCCCCCCACTCTCCCCAATACTCAATCGAAAAAACATACCAAAAAAATACACCCCCGCCACACTCGGCAAAACCCCCGCACTTTGCGCAAACGCAAATCCCGCATCCGTATTCGATATGCCTGCTAATCCGAGTAATGTAATTGAGAGGATGAAATTGACTGCGCTGCGAAGTTTATCTGCACGCGTCATGGCGGGTCGACTGAGTGCGTGGAGGATGTTCATGAGGATGAGGGTGAGGCCAGAGGCGAGGAAGAAGTAGGTGAACTAGAGGGGGTGGGGTTAGTGTGGGCATGAGGAAGTGTGGAGAGGGAATAGGAAATGGGGGAGAAAATGATGGGCAAGGGAACTTTTTGTACCACAAGAGCAAGAACTCCAAGATTTTCATTCCATTCTTCATTAGGATCTGTAACCGCATTATCACTTTCCGGGGGATCGATTCCGAAATTATCGAATAGAGAATCCTGCACTGTGGAAAACAGCGTCGTAATATTTCCCAATTGTTCTGTGGACCCAAGAGTCGTATTACCAATATTGAACAAAGCTCTTTGGGTATCTGTAAAGGTTTGTGTGAATTCCGGAGGGAATTTTTCGAAGATGCTTTGAGTGACGTTTGCTAAGCGTGTTTTGAGATCGAGACTATCGACGGCGGGGATTTTCTTAAATTGATCCACGTATTGTTTGCTGACTTGGCTATTGGGGTGTTAATATCTTGGAGAGTCTGGAGGGGATATTTGACTGGTTATAGTGCTTACCTGATAACCTCGACTACTTTTCGCCATCTGATAAACTGGGCAGCACCTTCGACGAGAAATACTAGTGCGAGATGGAATGGGAAGTGAAGAAATGCCCATATTTGTTGACGTATGGAACCAAACTGAGATCGGTTAAGCCAGTCAAAATAAAGCATGTAGAGGAAGTACTTGAAGGGTATTGTCAGTGATTGTGTCAAAATGAGTGAGAGCTTGATACATACAATTATTCCAACAGCTGATACAATAGTAAGAATGAGTGGCGCGGTCCATTTCTCCTCTTGTTCTGCAATCTATAGACAGTCAATATTTCACAGCCACAATCAAGAAGTTTGAGAGACCTACATCCGCAGTACTTTTGCTAACTCCAATTATACCTTCACCCACTGCAACGGAATTAGCGACGACTCATTTGAATCTAAAGATTATCGACTTACAAATAATCAGAGTAAGTAGAGTCATTCTTTGAACAAGATGAGATCCTCTGAAACTTAAAACCTTCCACTTCGACGATATGGCAATGTTGACTGCTGTCTCTAAGATAGCTGTGACATACCAAACAATGAACGCCTTGCCAGTCTTAGATGTTTCTTCTGAGAATCCACTTGAAAATCATTAGCCTAATAATAATTGGAATGTTGGAAAACATACAAAAAAGTGCAAAAATACACTAGTGCAGCTATGATATTGGCCACAACAACAAGAAAGAGTGGTAACTTTGAATTTTTATAATACCAAACATGATACTGAATTCTCATTAGTAATGAAAGATTTTTGCCAAAGAACATAAGAAACATACCAGTATAACAGAATATTGAAAGCTCAACACAAGTCGCGAAAACATTAAGATGATTGCTAGTGAACGAAAAGCACCAGGCTTTTGATCCGATGAATTAAAGTCTGGTCCGACAATTGCCAATCCAATCATAACACCAAATTGACATGCTTTTCCTATTCTCTCCAATATACTATCCGTAACAAATCGAACATCAAAAAGACTGACTTGTAACCATAAGAACCAAAGGATGCAGAAAAAGCCAGCATATGATTTGAGTGCATCGATCTCATTGACATCATGTACATCGTTGAACGTCGTCAGATTTGCAACGAAAAAAAGATCATAGAAAAGTTCCATGTTCGTAGTCTCCTCATATCTTCGAAACTCGGGGGTTTCGAACATTTCTTCTTCTGCATCATCTTTCGAAAATCGATCAACTTTCCTATCGTCATATTGGTTCTCGATCGATTTATCGTATGATTGTTTTCTAGCAATATTGATAGGACCAGATATCTCATGTATGGGACTCGGAATTGGAGGTGTTATCGAATATTTCCTCCTATTATGAGCTAATGGATTTTCGAATAACTTTAACTTCGGTTGTGACTCTTCGTTTCCTTGATACATCGATCCATGACTATAAGTGTTCTTTAATGGGGTTTGACTAGAGACGGAGCTCGTTGAAAGATGCCTGTTTGCCTCTATGATTAGCCAAAGAAGATGGAGGTCTCCAGTTCCATTCTCCATTGAAGATATTCAGGATTCACGCACCTTTCATGTGATGACATGATGTTTAATTGGTGAACGACGGATCTGAAACCTCACAATTGAAATATTCGAGTTCAACACACAACAAAGTACAAGATCTCAAGGGCTAATACTTATATGATATCCCCATGGGTGACAACGGGTAGAAAAGCTTAATTAAAAGCATCCACGGCATAGAACGCACAGATCATTAGATCCGGGAGCTTCATCAGATCATCCGTGCGAGTTTGATATGTTTTGTTTTACCCTGAATCTAGACCATTGTAGGTTCAAGCCATTCGAGTTGATGAATGCAAAGGCTCTTGCATGAGAAATAAGAAATAATTTTCGGTTCTTCATTAGAATTTGTAAGAAAAACGCGGTTGAGAAATACGGATGTTCATCTCCCGTTGAGGTTACGAATGGCCTCATACACTTGTATGTACAGGAATGGCTTTATGGGTCATGAAAACTCTCATGACATTGTTACGCGTAGATTTTCCTCTTGAATATTCGTCCAACTATCATCTCTAATAGTATCCCGCCACTATGTAATGTAGCATTATCGCCAAGAAAGCTTCAATCTGATGGCAGTTGATATTCCCATCATTTCCACCCTGACTGCCGTTCAAACGCCCGCACGCCATTGTTTCAAGACCTATAGGACATTGCTCAAAGGGCCCTAAGCAACTTCCAATGCCTGTAAGTGAGCCACATTTGGAATTGATGCTTTTCTTCTTGAGACGTGGCTTGCATCAATGAACCTCATAATGATGTTTGGCGTGTAGGAAACGGGCGTTGATCAACATGTGAATGTGAAGAATAGTTATTTCTGGAAAAGAGGGTTTCTGTTCTCAGACCCTTCACAAGTTGGACAACGCTCTTCGATTGTATTGGATTTGTATTGATATCTTCATCTTTCCACAGTAGTCCCTGGTAATTCGGATTCGTCATATTATGTAAGCTAACCTTATTCTAATCCCGCCCTGTTCATGAACAGACTCGAATTGACCACCTAACCTAGCGAATCCTTTCATGATTTAATTCTTCATTTCAATCTGGAGAATTAAAGGTTTAAATAAGTTCACACCAAAAATTGTCCAAGGATTTGTTTAATATTATCCACTCTGATCATTCTATTTGTGCTCAAGCCCACGGAGACATGGAGCTATGGTGACAGTTTACTCAAACACGATACGTCCATCTAGTATTCGAGAATCTGATAATGAACTTCCATACATACTCGACCATTCTCATATTTGATATGTCCGTTCAATGCGGTGGTCAATATAGTGAGCTACACAGCCCTTCAAACATTATGTTGCCTATCCTAAAAGATCCTCGGATACATGCCATGGAGCGAAACCGGAGAGCAGGTTGTGAAATTACAGCTCATTCGCCTTATTAATCGCCCTTCTCACTGGAGTGCTATTATACCAACTCCAGAAAGGTGTGGTTATATATAAAGATCTTGACGAGAGCGGATAACTGATGTTATTGCTAGTGCTACTTGGATAGGCTACATAAGAAGACTACTTGCCCAAACACTTCAAAAGCATGGCCAGATGAGGAAACAAACGCAGTAAAGTGTAAGATAAAGAATAGAATCAAGGGACTTGGACCAAAGGGTTTCTGAGCGGTGTAGCTTTCATGTCCACCTTTGTTCTGCACGCCAAACTACCTGTCAGGGTAAGCCTTACATCTTCCACCCTCTTATACCAGCCATTGTTCTGAGGATCTGCCTTAGATCCAGCAACTGGATCTTTGTACCAACGCTCAGCAGTGGTGGTATATTCAGTCGTAGGAATCGTCCCGATAATCACTAGCAAGGTAGCAATATAGCTAGTTTTTGGCGGCGCATTTACAGTCTGCGCAACCGAGAGTTCCACTGTCTTCGTTTGACTCGTAGACGAGGTTTCGGTTCTTTCATAAGAATAATTGACTGCGACAGACCATTGAGTTGAAGCAGAAGCTACCCCTTCGACTCCCACACTAGCTGTCTGGGTCAAGCTTGTCGTTATGCCAGTGACGCGTTTATCAGAGGTCTCAACGGTGACGGGCTGAGTGGTGGAATTGCGAAGTGTTACGGTAATGGCTTGTGGCTTGGGGGTATCATTTGTTCCGTCAACACGAGAGGTAAGTCCTCCCTCATCCGATGAGTTGGAAGCAGTGACGTTAAAAGGCTTGATAACCTCTTTTACAGGGTTAACACTCTGCCATTTGAAAGAGCTTACTACGTCGTTGAGGCGGACGTCCGAAAGTCTAGCTATCTCTTTCATGGTACTCCAGCCTTTGATATTGTCATATGAAGTTCCAGTGCCATCTGCTGCATTGTACAATGTAGCCGTCTGTCGATCTTGAAGCGTCTTCCAACGGACTGAACTAATGCTGTCCTGCAACTTCCATTTCATAATTGAGTGAACAGTATTGTCAGACCCTCGCTGAGAAATATGGTCGAACGTCTACCTCTGAAGTCGAGATCTTCAAATAACTCAATGGCTCCCATATTGAGATCAACTTTTCTCCAGAAAAACATCGAAATCTGGTCGTGCAAGCCGACCTGTATGAGATCAACTGCCTCGGTTCTTCCAGTTCCAACCAGGTCAATACATGTACCTGCATCACCTAGATCCGGGATTGGTCCGCTCGTTTTAATATCAGCAAGTAATGTCATCACAGTATCGGCTGGCATATTAAATAAGATCCAAGACGTTATATCATATTGAAGAGGTGGAATTATATGACGCCGGTTGGGAACATAGTCGTCGAGGATAAGGTCAGACCTCAGACTGTCTCATTGACTCTGGAACAATGCTACGGTACCGCTGGAGATTTGGTAAGGGATTGGAGCGGAAGGTCGTGGTGGTGGAGTGAGAAGACCCACCAATCCGTCGAGAGTAGTAGTAGTAGTCATATTGAAGTCTTCGGTAATATCAAATCAGTGTGTATGTAATGAGTCTGGAGTTGTTGATAATGATTAAGACATTGGGGTGAAATGTGCCTCTATTATACCTAAACTCATTAAGTATTTCACATGTCTCGATGTCCCACGGCCTCGCGTCCTTTTCAGCTGTCTTCGAAGGAGTGGCATTCAATACAAAGCCTTTGAATTCGTATATCTTGGGAACTGTTACATTTATTCAAACAACGTAGAACAATGAAAATGTGAATTCTGATATCAACAATCACAAAGTGAATTCATTAAGAGTTCCAAAAGTTGAGAAGTGACCCATCAATCTATGCACCCGCTGGTGATCGCTCGCAGTTGCCTTTGCAGATGCAAGCGACGCACGCAATATTCGAAATCGAGCGTTTAGACCCCGCTCCACGATTTGAACTGCACAAAAATCGGTTATTCTGCATCAAATTTTGACCCAGTACAACAATACACGAAGCAGGCGATCACCTTTTTGGAGATATTCGAGACCGGGTTCAGCCAAAATCTCATAGTTTCGTTCCGTTTTAGACTTTTTCGGCATGAACGATTCTAAGCCGAAGCAAGGACTGACCAGTACAATGAATGAGTTACGGTTTAAAGCTGTAGGTCGCCTTTCAGAGCGCGGTCAAAATCAGGGTGGAACATGAGCCAAACTGCGGTGGACGTTTGTTCAGCAGCCCCCTTTCAGCCAAAATTACACGAGGATAAGCGAATGCATCATTTGGTTCGTTGCTTTTGAAAGTTTTTGTTTTATCAATGCATCACAACTACAAAATAGTTTTCCCGCATGAAGCCATTGTTGCACGAATCGCGGGGTTTGGTAAAGATAAGCCAGCATCACCAATCATATTCCCTCAAACACTAAGCTCTTATACCACCAACGATCGACTCTTCCGCCAAGAGTATCTCACACTCTCTAATAACATCAAACGAAAACACATAATCATTGATGTCATCCGTGGTGCCAAGTGTTTTTCCATCCGGAAGATACTTGGCAGCCTCATCACGACTAGCCTGCGATGCAGGTGGGCTATGATTCGAAAGGATTTGCAGAGACGAGCCTCTATTTTTTCTAACCTTTTCGTATAGTTGTAGTCGCTTCTCCAGTGTTTCTTTGTCGTCAGGATTTATCTGATTCAGTAATATCCCGAGTGCACCCGCATCTTCGATGGCTTGGCACCCCCCTTGTGCTTGGACTAATGCTGAATGTTAGGAAACGTAGGACGAAATGGGGTTGTACATATTTCAACTTACACGGAAGCATAGGATGAGCAGCATCGCCTATCAAAACGAGTCTGTCCTTGTGCCATGTCGGGATTGGTTCTCGAGCGACCAATTTCCAAAATTTAACATCTTGTGCCTTCCTACATTGTCTGTGAGATACCATCCAATGTAGATATAGCCATCGGCAATCAGACTCACCCGATCACGGCTTTTAAGACGGGGCTGAACTCATGCATCGCATACTTCATCGGAACACTTGGGTCAACAGACGCTCTGAAACCTACCACCAACTTTCAGCGTCATACAAAGAGATTAATGCGGGATTTATACTTTCTGTAGCATGGGAACTGTCGAATGCCTTTGACAAGTACAGAAAATTCTGCACCTCGTTACTGATTCGCGATCTGGTCAGCTCAGAAATATCATAAAAAACGCCCACGAAATCCTTACTCTCTACATGGATACCATACGAAACCGCCCACACCGGAAGCTGGCGCAAAGAATCTCTGAACAGAATCGTCGACCAGATCAGCAGTCTCGGGATCTGATAACAGGTCTTCTGTGGGCACTAACCATCGCATACAAGACCATCCAGTATCGCCTGCTTGAACTTTATTCGCACCAAGCACGTGGTCCACAGCCGTTGAGTGCACCCCATTTGCTGCGACGATAAGATCTGCTTGTAAAACCTTTCCATCCTCAAGAGTGACTTTCCCATCTACGGCATCCTATAATACAAATCATTATTCAAATTCGAGACCGCAACAAAACGCGTTATCACTAATACTCACAAAACCAACTATCTTCGCCTTGACCTTCAAAACAACCGGAATCCCCTCTCCATCTTTCCTAGTCGCTATTTCTCTCAACTGACTATGCAAATCAACCCGATGGGCCGAATACAACGGTATCCCATACTTTTCCTCAGTCTGCGCATAATAATTGTCAACCACAACTTTCATGGCCATACCATCCCAAATATTTGCTTTACTGAGAGCTACCAGTTTCGATTTCGCGGGCGAGAAGCCCCATGACTTAAGTATGAGTGACGCATTTGGTGCTACTGTTATAGCGGCGCCTGTTTCGTGGAGAAGGGAAGATTGTTCGAGTATCTTGGGTCATGTTAGTATTTCTACATTGTGGGTATCAGATGATATACCGGTATAATCTGGCCGGTAAAAATATAGTGAGTAGAAAACGAACAGTAACTTTATGTCCACCTCTACGTAGAGCAATCCCAGCACCGAGACCAGCGATTCCCGCGCCTACAATTATGATTTCCATAATTTCAGTCAATCGTGTATTTTTTGGTAGTGGTGATGATATCAGAGGTAGCTCACGACATGTCGTCCTTTATGTATCATCAAATGGACTCGTGCTTACACGTTTCATGTACGGAGTATGCAGCACGGCTGATGAGCTGAAAGCCATTGTATGACAATCCGTGTGAGATGTCTTGCTTAATTTCGTAATCCGCGAAGGTAAACCGGACTAGTATAGGAGTACTCTGATTGACATGAGTGGTCTTTAAATCGAATTCCAGTTTCGCACTGATCAGCACACCAGTGGGTGTACAAACTGACGGGACACTGCAAAAATGGACTTGTGAATATCTTTCAATGAACCAAATCATATATCTTAAGAATTTTTATAATCATTCATTAGATATGAAATAATCGAAACATGAATTTTCATATCAAACAATTAAAGAATGACTTTATTAGAAATTTCGAAAGTTGGGAGTCTCGTCAATCCATACAGAGTCGTAAAGATTGTTTCAGATTTCCGTTTCAATCTTAAATGCAGGCCACAACATGTAGTGTGAAAAGTACACCTTGCGTTAGATGATGAAAGAGATCATGTAACAACAACAAAAATATTAGTTACTCCTCACTATCAATATAACCATGGTCGATATGAAGAGAATTTGTGCGAGTTTGTAACCATGTGACATGATTTGATATCTATCATCTATTAATACATCAAGAGGTCGTAGCTCCATACCATATACATCCATTATGATCACCCAGCCTTAAAAGAACGCAGACCACCCAATATACATAGCCGTCAGTCTTCTCGGATCTGTGGCTTGCTTAATTAATTCGTCAACATAACCCTCCACACTAAGTGGCACACTTTCTCCAGGTAACAGTCCCTTCACCTTTCGCTGGATAACGTCCAACACCTTCTGCGCACTCAGCATCCCTTCATTTGCTATCTCCCTCTTCTTCTTATCAACCTTCTTCATGAGGTCCAGTGTGGGATCATAAATAAAAGCTTCAAGAATTGTCATCAAAGTTTCTTCGTGCTGGCGTAATAGCTTTATCGTAAGTTCCGAGGATTTGCGGAACGGACCTTCGTAGCCGTACATACCCATTGCGTCGACCATGTTATGAGTTAAGCGGAAAGGAACTTGTTCTGGCTTTGCAAAAGTTTTACCTTTTTCAAAGAGACAATTGAAATCTACGTGAAAGGTTCCTCCATTTCCTTCCTCGAAAAGTATATTTTCTGTGTGGCGATCTCCTAGACCTAGAATTGTGCCAACCATAGACATAACAGCACATGACCGAGTATAGCGAAGTCTAGCAGCAAACCAAGCCGAGGGCTCCGGGAATTGTTTGATGAACCATTTGTGGAATACAGGTTTAAACTCGCCAAGAACCTTTTCCGTGAAGAATGGGAGTTGCTTCTCGCCTTTCATTGCTTCCTCGCAATACATACCAAGTTCCGTATAATTGATTCGTTTCCCCTGCGCTCCGTACAGATCCGTAAGTATTTTGCGAAGTGTTTGAAGTCCTTCTATCCATTCTATGATTCCACATTCCTCATTCAAAGGTGTCACAGCATATGTCTTGACATACAATTGGCGTCTACTCGATTCGGCATCACGCTTTAGAGATCTATTCATCATGCTATTGAATTCTTGAAGACGCTGATCCATACGAAGGTCATCTTTCGGTTTGAAAAGGAGACCATAGTGTTGTCCATTTGAGGCCAGAGCTCTCACTCGCTTAGGTTTCGCCAAAGAATTTAATACCAGAACATCATCTTCAAAAGAATTGATTGTTATAACATCGCGAGAGAAAGCTTTGTGTGTTGTCACCTTATCTGTGAGAGTCGGCAGGCTCGCTGTCAAAGCGGCTTCTACTGGGCAAGCAAGGGCACTTGGCAGGACCTTGTGTTTAAATTGTAGATCTTTAGATAAACTCGATCTGAATACCCTAGATTCTTTGAAATCTCCAGCTTCGCAAAGTCTTAAAATTTCAGCAGTGAGAGCTTGTCCGTTTCTGATTAGAGCCCTGATGTCTATAGAATTATGATCGGCCTTCACAGACACGCTTGGCAATTTTGCGAGTAATTCCATTCCCTTGGTTCGACGATCCAGTTGCGTTGAAGTACTTAAAGCCAACACACTCCAAAGTGATTGTTGGGGATGTGCCGATACAACTTTTAGCATAATCAACTGAAGGAAGTGATTTACCTCCTTGTGCGGATGGGTAATTCTAGATACGATCTGTGGCAAAGCTGTGTAGAATATGTAGGCCGGCATTTTGGAAATGTATTTTTTGAATCTAATGTGAAGATCATCTAATGTTTTCTTTCGCAACTGAGTCATCTTGCTAACGAACTCTTGAGAATGACGCTTTGGATCAATCTTTTGACTGAGCTGCGTTCCAAGATCCAACCAGAGTGTTAATATACGAGGGAGAGTTTGGTGGACATACTTGGTGCCATGACCCAGCGAGCGTAGG